GATCCATGTTGTCTGTGGCAGGGGGAACCTGGTAAGGCACTACCTGGGTGGGTCGGAGAACTCCCGTAGAAAACACCCTGGGGGGGTCAGTATGTGTTGCTTTTGTTGTTAATTGGGAGTATAATGATATGACATAAAATCAGCCATTTTAGGCCATTTTTGGCGTTATTCAAGACCATGAAGCACATACTCAGTGTGGTAACACCCACCACAGAATCCGGGTCCAGAACTTGAAGACTCCCAAACACAGTTGCTTTTTTTATCAGGGGGTATAGGTTTATACCTGGGGTCATGTGTTTTGAATAAAGTTTACCAGGTAGTCGGGTGAAGGCCTGGCTTTATCGAGTTAGTGCTCGTTAAAGGTCAGTCACAGTGAGCCCTGGCTCTCTGATATGGGCCAAGCTGTTCTGGGCCTCATTGTTCTGCAGTCCAGTCGACTCTGAGGTTACTCAGGTTTCCTGTACCTCGCAGGAGATGTGCAGGTTTGTCTTGTCACTTGCTAAGATCGCTGATCAGGGGAGAAACTACTAGCTCGCTGAGTGTGGGCACATGCTTGATGTGGGTGGCATGCATCCATGGATTGTAGACAATCCATGACCAGCCTGAGCCTGGGATACCTGCTTTCTTCTCCCTGGGTGGGAGGGGATCCTGGGTTCTGAGGCTGGCAGATGTTGGTTTTCAATGTCCATCCCTGCCTGGCAAGCTCTGTGTCCTGGGTTCCCTGCCATGGACCATCTCTCCAGCTAGATTGTTGTTGCCAGTCTGATACTGGGTGGCTCCAGAAAGTTCTTTTGGACCCTCCATTTTTTAGCTTCTCTCTAATACATTACTTAATTTTCAGAGTAGTTTCACACTGTCACTGAGCTCAGCATACCTATGGGCCTGGGGAGGGCAGAGTGGGTCCAGGCAGTACTTGTGAGTAAGAAAAGGCCTTGTTCACAGTCAGTGCTGTGAGTCCCAGAGCTTCCATGGTTAAAGCTCACTTCCTTCTTAGGACCACGTCATGAGGTTGAGAAGCAGGTGTGTTTCTGTTTTGCTCCTGGGGCTGCTGAGGCTGAGCATGGGGCCTGGGAGATCACTGGTGGGTGGGGTGTGGGCTGGAGTCAGATGACCACCAGTCTTTCACCTATGATCCTGAGAGGCAGCTTCCCTTCTCTGGGCCTCACTTTTCTCAACTGTGTGTCATGGGGACTTATTGACTTGGTTGAGAAATGCCAGGAAAGACCTCAGTGCAGCGCCTGGTGTACAGTGCACACTTGATGCACGAGCTCCTGTTAGATGCAATGGAGGACCCATTGTCACAGAAGGACGGGGCTTTTTATTGAAACACACAAATTATAAATCAGTAACAGCCCCTTTCACAGAAATTGAACACACTTGAACCCATATCAAGAAACACCATCGGCTCCTCTCGTGCCCTTTCCTATCACATCACAGCCCGTCTCCTGACCTCTGAACCCCAGGTCAGTTTTGGCTAATTCCAGCTTGCATCTGTGAAATTGGATATATGGTTGTTTTTTCTGTCTGGCTTCCTGCAGTCAGCTTTTGGTGTAGAGAGTTTTTCAAAAGCTTGGGCTCGGATTGACACTGGAGTTGAGATCCCAGTCCTCCCATTTACTGCTGGAATGATCTCATATTTCCTAACATCCAAGCATAAGAGATGACCCCTCCTTTGTAGGGATAATGAGAACATTAAATTAGCAGTAGGTAACGCACAGTAAGTGCTGATGCATAACAAATGCTCTGTAGAGTGTTAGCCGCTGTTAGGTCCTGGGTTGGTGTTCTGTTGGCTACATGGTTGTTCTGCTGACTCTTACCATGTACTTGACCTTTCAGAACACCCACCCCATATTTACTTTCAACTGGGAATGTGTGGTTAGTTTCCTGTGGAACACAGAGGCAGCCTGCCCTGTCCAGACGATTACAGATGCAGACCAGGTACGTGTGTTGTCATATGGCTCTCTCACTGAGCCTCCTGCTGGATGTTTCCATCCAGGTAGCCAGTCCTGACCTGCCTCCTGCCCCTGCTCTCTGAACCAGCTGTCACCATCCCTTGTGCATTGACAAGTGCCTAAAGGTCATTCAGCATTCCTCTCCCTAACCTTCACCCCCATATCCCAGAATGAGAACCAGGACCCTCAGTTTTGCTCCCTGCTCACTGCTGATCCCTTCCTTTTTCCCTGCCCCTTATCTCTTTCTAGTGGGCACTGGGATTCTCCATCACCGCCAGAGGTCTGCCTAATTTATATGTCACCCACCCCTAAAGCATTTCAATATCTGGCCCCACAGGCTTCATGTGCTCTGCTCTTATCCACAGAGTAAAGTCCATATATGTATCCTACTGTGACCATACCTGCAGGCTAGAGCCCGTGTGCTTCATGTGATTCTATCCCTGCAGGCTAGAGCCCGTGTGCTTCATGTGATTCTATCTGTAGGCAAGAGCCCATGTACTGGGGATCCAGTGCAGGGCGTTTTGCATGCTAGGCAAGTGCTGTATCTACCACTGAGCTATAGCCCTAACCCCCGAGTGTTCTGATATGCCCTGATGCACAGGGTAGATAGAGCCGTTGGGTCTCATTGATGCGATCTGTAGGGTGGAGCCCATTCTCTCTAACATGTTCCACTTACAGCTGCATTTTCCAGCCTCTCTCGCTTTCCAATGGTCACTGCTCTAGCACCTGGACTGGTACCACTGGTTTGGGTGCAGCCCCACTCCTTTCTGCACTAGCTGCTCTACTGTTCTCTCTGCCCACCTTGGGGCAGTGAGTTGCTTTGCTGGCGCTGTGTGTATTTCTTTATAGTTGTGGGACATGTTTTCCTCCCTGCCTTTTTAATCACTCCCCCAGACTAGAGTCTGGCAGCAGAGACCGGGTCTGATTCACACAGATGACCTTAACTCAAGGTCCCTCAGTCAGAGTGGGGACAGACTTAGGTTTCTAGACTGTGACTGCTGCCCTGTTCTCTGTACTTGCTGGATACAGGAGGCCTGACACCCAGAAGAGAGGAAATTGTGAGTTGTCCTGTCATACTGCCATCGACCCCTTCATGTGAATAATTGAGACAGAAAATAGAACATGAAATTTCTGATTATTTTTTTCTTAAGAAACTAGTGCTGGGTCTCTACAGTTCCACCTGCCTTCCCTTTAGGGATTAGCAGTAGTCTTATTCAGGTAATGCAGTGGTTCAAGAGCCTTCCAGAGTAAGTTTAACCCTCCGAGTCATGTCTCTGTACTGTGTAGGCAAAGGGCTGTGTTTGAACGGGCTGTCGAGGGCATGTTGGCCTGCCTTTTTAGTAGGAATTTAGTTTTATTTATTTTTCTTATGGTCCTGGGGATTGAACAAAGGGCTGCACACATGCCAGGCAGGTGCTCTACCACTTGAACTGTGCCTTCAGCCTGATACGGATTTTTAAGTGAACGGAGGCACAGCTCTGTAAAGTCAAAATGTGTTTGTTGTCCTCTTGTGGAATTGTATTCAATGTGTTTCCTTCCCTTCTTTTGTTTCCTATAGGCTTGCTCTATCAGGGACCCCAACAGTGGATTTGTGTTTAATCTTAACCCACTCAACAGTTCTCAAGGATATGTGGTCTCAGGCATTGGAAAGACCTTTGTGGTAAGAGTGATTTGGTGAATTTCCAGTTTCAAATCAAGGGGACAGTCATTAGTCACCTGCAACTGGTGATTCAAGGAGGCAGATGTTCTCAGGAGTCGCCTAGAGCAGTGTGATGGCAGCTCTTACCCCATTCTACCTGTGTTGAAAACAGGTTCAGGGGGAAAAATGAAGTTCACAGCATCACCAACATACCATTGTACCACCTGGTACAGTTTAGATACGGGGACATGGGGACAGTTACTCTTCCTGACCGCTTGCTGAGTGTCTAGCAGTGGTCCCCAAAGCAGAAGCAGCACATTACCTGGGACCTTGTTAGAAACATAGATTGCTGAGCCTCACTCCAGACCTTGTGAATTGGCAGCTTGGAGGTGGGCAGACAGTGTGATTTAGCAAGTCCTCTAAGTGATTTTGGTACCCACTGCAGTATGAGGCCTACTAGCCAAGAGGAAGTCGTGACAGGATTATGTTGTAAAAGGAGCACAGGATGGCTGTGCTCTGAAATCTTCCAAGGGCGCGTCCTCGTGGATAGCCCAGATGGTTTGCCTGGAGCTGTAAGGTAGAAAATCACCTAAACTACTACAAGAGGAGAAAATTAAAAAAATTTTCTTTTTGCAGTGCTAGGAGTTGAACCATGGGCCTTGAGCTTGCTAGGCTAGTACCGTACCACTTGAGTCATGCCCTCAGTCTGGGAGAAAGCTTTTAAAATATCTTGATTGTGGCTTAAGTTCACATAGCAATGTCCACATTAGAACAATAGAGTAGCTTTGCAAACAGGATGTTGGCAGTGAGAACATCCTATAGTAATTTGCTGCAGAGGAGAACTGTGAGGTGAAACATCACAAGCAGAAAGGCACACAGACATCCCCTGGCCAGAAAAACTCCTAGGGTGGGATTCATTCCTCAGCTGGCTTTGGCTTTTTCCTCCTGCCCCCATCCTCCAGCATGTTTTTACAGGGGCCTCTTCCATTTCATAATGATAGATACTAAGTGTTTAATGGCCTCAGTGTTATGTGTTAATTCTAGAACTGTTCAATTTACCAAACAGCAAAATTTGGTTTATGCCAGGCAGCATATCCCAGCATTAGGTTGAGTGTGTTTGGCTGCCTGTGGGAGTGTGAGAGGCAGGGGACTCTAGACAATATGCCAGAAGCAGAGCAGAGAGGTCCTGCCTTGTGTTCTAGCCAGGTTGTTAGAAGGTGGCTTGGCAGATCATGGCTCTCAGTTGCAGAGACCCACAAGTTGATTGGCAGAGCACCTCGCTGTCTTGTCCATTTTGTGGGACTTAGCTGCCCTGGACATTCACTGGCACATTCCCCTGCTGCTGGAGCTCCCATGTGGGGATCTCTAAGAGTGCCCAAATCTACTGATTGTAGGGGCGTGCAGACGCTGGGCAGCTGGATGACCACTGCCCACAGCATGGCAGACCATAGCTCAAGCCCCTCCCAGCTCTGTTGTCAACTGATAGGTGAGATTTGGAAGGAAGGAAAGGGAACTTGCCTCTGATTCCCATGGTTAGTACCCTGGATGTAGCCCACTAGGACCCATGAGTACTTGGGTAGGGTCTAGCTCTCACCAGCCATCTCCTAAGTAGGGAACTTTGGTCTTTACTCAGAACACTTCCTATATGCAGTTCCAAACTCTGTATTCATTGTCCATTAACACTAATCAGAGAGGAGAGGTCTTTCCTTTCTGTATCTTCACACCAGAGGAGCAAAGTGCATTTTGTTTTTGTAATTATAGTAAAGTTAACTGATTTTTAATGGAATGATAGCAACACCTTCAAGAAATGTAGGGGCACCACTTTATATTTACTTATAATTAACATGACTTCCAACTATATAATTTAAAATGTTATAAAAGTTATGGTTTATATACATTGTCTTTATTATATATGGTACGTCATGACATATAATATGTTATGCATTTGAAGATACAGGGGTATATAAATGAGTAGAACTTGTGTACTAAACCTTAAAGGAAATTTATGGGTATTGCTATTTGAACTTAGATTTTTGCCTTACTTACTAACTAACTTTAAGATTTACCTACCCAAATGGGGAAAGTTGTAATTGACAATAACACCAGATATTTAACCTAGTGGGATTTTTGGTAGGTAGGCAACTTGACTATGGTAAGTCATGGAGCCTAAATGCACCTATGTGGTTTTTTACCCTCCGGCTTCCAGTTCAATGTCTGTGGTGCAATGCCCGCCTGTGGGACCGTTGGTGGAAAGCCAGCCTTTGGCTGTGAGGTAGGAACCCAGGTAGAAGACCTGAAGAACCTGAAGCCAGAAAGGCCAGTTGGATTTGAGAAAAGCCTCCAGCTATCCACTGAGGGCTTCCTGACTCTGACCTACAAAGGGTCGTCTCCCACAGACAAAGGTGAGCGCAGCTTTGTTGTTTTTCACCTAACAGAGCCAGAGGTTTTATGACTGACTGTGAACCTCAAGGGCTCTGTTAGCACTGTTGGCAGGGTGCTCATCTCTCTCATTCCCCAGGTACTTGAACACACACGTCACTTGCCTCTTTCTGTCTCTGCTTTGTTCAGTTTCTTTTGTTGTAACTCTGTGACTGTGGTGAGGTGGCCCTGGGTTACCACTTCACTGTTGTCTCTCCTGCCTTCCTTTTCCTGGTGTTCTTTTGTCTGCACCTCCAATTCTTGGATGTGGATGTTTTTAATTTTCCATTTGTCACATTTCTTTTAGGCACTGAAGAAGTGATGGATGAAGATGATAAAAGTTACTCTTTATTTTCCTAAATGCTTTCTTTCTACCTATTTTTCAGCTCTATTGTTATGGTTTCTTAATGTAATGAACACAGTTTTGCTGTGTTAAAATTAACATTTTTACTCTGTTCTATTATTGTGTTGTACAACAGAAATAGTCATCATTTTTTCGTGTGTCAGGAAATGCAAGGTCAAGTCCAGGTACGACAGTGGCCATTTTAGTACAGTAAAGGGTACCACACGTTAAACGCTTCCTGTGCTAAAATGCTCATCTGGCCAATCTTACGTTGGTTCTGAGAGTCTTACCCTCTTCTGTGCTTCAGTTCTTCTGCGTAAGCACTGCCTCATTTTACACATGCGGTAACGAAAGCCAGAAAGGACGTGGGCCTGGGACAAAGCTGATGGCTCATTGATGGGCAGTGTCAAAGTGAGGATCCAGGGCTCTTGGATTCTGATCTTGGCTCTGCCACCTAATGTATTTGTGTAATGCAGCTGAGGAAACAGATTCCCAGAGATGCCGTATCTGGCCCAGGGCCACACAGTTAGTAAGCAGCAGAATGGTACTTAGAGTCCACATGTTTGGTGTTAAAACCTATGGTCTTCCATCACACCACGGTGAACTTGAGAGCAGTTGGTGTGTCGTGTGGTTGTTAAAAATGCTACTGTCTTTGCTGCCTGCATTTCTGTCATTCTGGTCTTTTGAGCTCCCATGAGAATCGCTCATCTCTGCCTACAGCATTCTAGGGCTTCTCCAACCCACAGCTCCAGACTTCCCAGGTCTTCTCATATACCAGCCCCAGAGCCATAAGACCCACATGGTCAAGTCTAATTACAGTGCTGACCCTTCTGCTTTGGCACCGGTTTTTCTGTGTAAGTTTTATCATTGCTGTGACCAAATACCTGACAGAAACAACTTAAGGAAAGAAGAATTTATTTTGGCTCAGTGTTTCAGAGGTCCATGGTTGCTTGACCCTATGCACTTGGGCAGAATGTTAAGGCAGTAAGAGCATGTGGAGGAATAGACAGTTCTCTTCATAGGAGACAGAAGCAGGAACAGGAAGGGGCCAGGGCAAGACACACCCTTGAAAGTTTCCTCCCACCTTTCACAGTTTCTGCCACCTCCCATTGTCTATTCAGAATTTGAATCTGACAATGAATTAAGATCAGAGCCCTCAGGATCTATTCATGGATCTAGTCTCTGGATATACCTTCAGGTATCCTTTACTAATCTCCCAGACATCTCATTCCAGTTGAGATGAACCATCACAGAAATATCTGCAAATCTAACTCTACATAAAAAAGGTTTATACATCACAATCAAGTGAGATTTATCCTAGGAATGCCAGTATGGCTCACATATGTAAATTGATAAATAAAACACACTCTATTACCAATATGAAGAATAAAAACCATATGATCATCTCAATTGATGCAGAGCAAGAATGTAATAAAATTCAACATTTTTTCTTGATAAAAATTTGCTATATAGTCAGGCACCTCAGCACAATTACAGAATGGAAAGAGCTGAAAAGCTTCCTCTAAGATCAGGAGCAAGACAGGGATGCCCATTTTCACCACTGTATTCAATATTAGAATATTTGGTCTTGGAAGTCCGCTAGAGTAATAAAACATGAGAAAGAAAATGAAGGGCAACCAAAAATAGGAGTGAAGGAGGTCAGATCACTCCTGTTTGCAGATGTTGTGCTTTCATATATAGAAAAAGTTCACTGGTGGTATGGCTCAAGTGGTAGAGTGCCTGCCTAGCAAGTGCAAAGTTCTGAGTTCAAATCCCAGCACCACTTAAAAAAAAAAAAAGGGAAAACTTAAAAGATTCCATCAAAAACCTGTTAGTATTGGTAAATGAATTCATTGAGATTGTAGAATATAAAGTCATCATATAAAAAGCTGTAGTTTTTGGTGCACCAATAATAAAATTGCTGACAAAGAAATCAAGAAAGCAAAAATAAAATGCCTAGAAGTAAATTTAACCAATAAAGTGACCTCAACAATGCAAGTTACCAAACACTGAGGAAAGAAACCGAAGAGGACATGCAAAAATGAGAAGACATCTGGCACTCAGGAGTTGGGAGGGTTAATGTTAAGAATATCCAGCTAGTTAAAGTAATCTGCAAATTCAGTGTAAGTCCCATAAAAATTTCAATAACAAATGTTCAGTGACATTTTTCATAGAAAAAGAATTCCTAGTTTGTGTGGAATCATAAAAGATCCTGAATAACCAATGCAATCTTAAACATAAAGAAAAGCCGGGGCATTACAATACTGGACTGTAAACCAGCATGGAGCATGCAAGAAAATAGGCATAAGTTCCTATGGAACAGAGAGCCCGGAAATAAACCCACATATTTGCAGGCAATTAAATTTCACCAAAGACAGCAAGAACAATCATTTGAGAAAGTACAGTCTCTTCAATAAGTGGTGCTGGGAAAACTAGACAATCATATGCAGAGAAATTATCTAGCCACCTATCTCTTACCATATACAAAATTAACCTGAGATGAATAGGCGGCTTAAGTGTAAGACTGGAAACTCTATCTGGGCAAAGATGTTTTTGGATGTGAATTCCCAAACCATGGGCAACAAAGTAGCATTGACAAATGGGATTATATCTAACCAAAAAGTTTTGGCACCTCAAAGGAAACAACAGTGAGGAGAACTTACTTGGAGTGGGAAAAATGTTTGTATGCTATTCATCTGACAAGGAACTAACTTCCAGAACCTATAAGGGACTCAACAGCAAAAGACAATATGATTAAAAAATTAACAAAGGACCAGAATAAATTTCTCAAGAGAGGATGTACAAATGGTTAACAAGTACATGAGAAAATGCTGAGCATCAAAACCACAATAATACATTCTTTCACTCCAGTTAAAATTGCTATTGAAAAAGACAAAAAAAATAAAATGTTGGCAAGGGAACCAAGAAAAGGCAACTCTCATGGTCTGTTTTTGGGAATGTGAATTAGCACAACTGTTACAGAAAACAGTGTGGAGGCTCCTTTAAAAACTGGAAATAGAGCTGCCATATACTCAAATTCCACTCTGTACATAGCCAAAGGAGTTGAGATCAGTACGTCAAAGTAACGCCTGCATGCCCACGTTTATCGCAACACTGTTCACAATGACCCAGATAGGAATTAATGTAGATGTCAGTTAGCAGATGTGTGAATAAAGAGAACGTTGTGTATGTACACAGTGGATGATCGCCTTAAAAATGAATGAGATTCTCTTATCTGCAGCAACTTGGATGGAGCTGGAGGACATTATGTTAAGTGAAATAAGTCAGGCACAGAAAAACCAAAACTGCGTATTCTCATGTATATGTGAAAGACGAATACTCACTTGAAGCAGAGGGTAGAATAGTGGTTACCAGGGCCTTGTTGGTGCAGGGGAGCGAGGACGAAGAGAAGACAGTTAATGGGACAGGAGTAGGGTGGTATAGGAGGATGGCGCTCTGTAGTACAGTAGGGTAATTACATTGGCATCAACTAATTGTGTATTGCAATAGTTTTGAATGTTTTCTGATACAAAGAAATGATTTATGTCTGAGGTAATAGGTATGCCATCCGATCATTATACATTTTTCCATGTCTTGAAACCTAACAGTATACCCCAAAAATATGTTTAATACTGTGTGTCAATTAAAAATAAAAAAGTGTTCAAAAAAGAAGCGGTAACCTTTTCATCCTTAAGAATGGTGTGCACCCCTTGAAGGCGCCTGTGAAATGCTTAGCCCATGCTGGGGCTGCTGTGCGGCTCCCCTGGCTGCAGTGGCTTCCTTTTCGGTACTCCTGCTTTTGCCCTCACAGAATAATCTGTGTTCATTGCAGCAGATGGGGGTATTTTAAAATGTTAAGTCAGATAAGTCACTCCCAGCTCCACATCCCACCTGGAGCAGAAGCGAGTGCTCCCACAGCGGCTGTTGGTTGCTGCCTGGTTCTGATGTGATTGCCTGCGCTCTGCCCGGCTGGTCCTGCTGTCCTGCTTGTTTCTGTAGTGCTTGTCCCCACTTGTGCCTCTGTACTTGCTGCTCCCTCACCTTCCAGCACAGCTGAGGAAGACTGTGGTATTTGTTGAAGAGCCAGTAAGTGAGAGATTGTCATCTGATATGTGCACCGATTAACTGATGTGGGGTTTGAATGCTTTCTGGCAGAGTAAGAGTACCAAGCCACCAGGCTCCTGGCATAAACTCATGGTGAGATGGTCACTGTTGTGAGCTTGTTGCTGGTCGTGCCATCCTCCTCCCATGCCTTGTGTGTGTGGGTCACCTGGTGAGTAGTGCATTCCTGTTCCACAGGCACTGCTTTCATCATCCGCTTCATTTGCAATGGCGACATTTACCCGGGAACTGCTAAATTTCTGCATCAGGACATCGACTCTGCGCGAGGGATCCGGAGCACTTTCTTCGAATTTGAAACTGCCTTGGCCTGCGTTCCTTCTCTAGTGGACTGCCAGGTCACCGGTGAGGCCCGGGAATGAGTAGGTGGGATGAGATGAGTGTGAGGGGTGTGTGTTCCCATTTATGTGTAACGTGTGTCTGTAAGAGCATATGCGTATGTGTGAACGAGTGTGCATTTATGTTCATTTGTATATGTACATGTATATTCGTGCATGCAGTGTGCATGCTTTGCTCTATAGGCACTGCAACAGTTGTATAGAATTTTTTTTAAATGAGGCTTAGAGCTGTATTGTTTCTCTAGAAGAGACTCCAGACATAGAGTTTGTGGTTTTAAGCTATGGATTGGGGTCAGATGTCCTTAAGAACAGAGAAGAAAACTCAGAGGGAAAAGGAAATCAAATACATACATTTGAGGAAGTTAAAAAACGGAGACCACCTTAGAGTGCCCGAGAGTGAGCAATGTTCTGCTGCCCTCGGTCTCTGGCTGCTGTCCCACCTCTGCAATGACACTTCTTCAAGATGGGCAGTTTGGAGGGACAAGTGGTGCATTTCTGTAGGCAGAGCCCCTCGCTTCCTGTGGTCTTTCTTGGGTCTTGGGGTTACGGATGCCATGTCCATAGCACAGCCATCTTTGCTTGGGATGGAAAATGGCCCCTGAACTGGCACAGAAGCCATTTTTCCAGAATGTTTCCCTGTATTTCAGACCCTGCTGGAAACGAGTATGACCTGAGTGCCTTAAGCACAATCAGGAAGCCGTGGACTGCTGTGGACACCTCCGTGGATGGGAAGAAGCGAACTTTCTACTTGAGTGTCTGTAATCCTCTCCCTTATATTCCTGGATGCCTTGGTGAGTGCTGAGTCCACAGTTCCTTCTGTCCGAGTGTGATCAGACTCAGGCCAGCCTTCTTCTACTCCCATCTTATTCTCCCGTTCTTACAGGCAGTGCTGTGGGGTCTTGCTTAGTGTCAGAAGACAACAGCTGGAACTTGGGTGTGGTGCAGATCAGTCCTCAAGCTGCAGCCAACGGGTCCCTGAGTATTCTATATGTCAACGGCGACAAGTGTGGAAACCAGCGCTACTCCACCAGGATAACGTTTGAATGTGCTCAGACGGCGGTATGTGTCTGCAGTGCAGTGAGCAGTGTGTTTCTCGCTTCCCTGTAAACTCCTGAGTTTTCTACATTGGTTAAAACTGGCCTGTGTTTTCATAGATTTTTGGCCAATGCTAGGGTTTGATTAGAATTTCCTGTGTTGTGTCCCCCTCCAGCCCCTCATTTTTGTATAAATAACTGTATATTTGGTTCATGGAGGTTAAAGATTAGGTGTTAATTGTGACTATCATCTGATTAATTTTTAAAACCCAGTAAGCTGTTTTTTTCTCTGCAGGGATCACCCACATTCCAGCTCCTGGATGATTGTGAGTATGTGTTTGTCTGGAGAACAGTGGAGGCCTGTCCTGTGGTCAGAGAGGAAGGTGAGCCCTGGGTCTGTCATCACAAGTCACTTTAGCTGTCAATCAATGATGCTCTGAGGAACACATAGACAGGAAGCATGTGATAATGCTGGTGTGGATCATGAAGCCCTTATTAGGGATGGGTAACCTCTTGAGTGTTTTTCTCTAGCATGTTTGCTAATTTTACTAGGGACCATTTCTTATGTACTTGCATTGATGGAGTTGTAGCTTCTCTCACTTGAAAACAGTGACTTGGAGCTGGGTCAGCTTTGGTCTGGTTTGGTTTGCAGAAGTGGGTCTTCCTCCTGTGTTCTCCCTAGGCTTTTGTTGAAAACACAGACAATTTGTATTATACATAAAAAGTAAAACAGTATAGAGATAGCTCCTAAAAGCCATTTGAGGACAGTACTTACCTGATTTAAAGTACAAAACTCATTGCTTGGGAGTATGAATACAAGTGCTGTAACAGTTGCCCTTGGTTTTGTGTGTGTTCTTGAAGGTGATAACTGTCAGGTGAAAGACCCAAGGCACGGCAACCTGTATGACCTGAGGCCTCTGGCCCTCAACACCACCACTGTGAGTGCTGGCGAGTATACCTACTACTTCCGGATCTGTGGGAAGCTGTCTGCAGACGTCTGCTCCAGCCTCGACAGGTCCAAGGCGGTCTCATCATGCCAGGAAAAGCGGGGACCACAGGGATTTCAGAAAGTGGCAGGTACCATGATTTTCCTCCTGCTTTATGATCAAAATATTAAGATGTTAGGCGGAAGGTCACGTTTCTCTGTGGTAGGAAGAATGGGGAAAACGACACGTTAGTGATGTTTCTGATTCCACGATTTTCTTAGCTAGAACACACGCTGAAGAATGTTGTCAGTGTGTTTCTGACTCGAAGGTCATGTCTTCCCCTGGCAGCTTTGGTACACACTGAACTAGCCAGTAATGGGTATTTTCAGGTGGTGCTTTCTAAGGTTGAGTTACAGGGAATGCATTCAATATAGGACTTGGCTATAAACCTGATGTGTTACATGCCTGTAATCCCAGCACTCAAAAGATTGAGGCAGGAGAATCAGGAATTTGAGACTAGTCTGGCCTACATAGTCAGACCCTATGTCTGAATGAATGAATGAATGAATGAGATTAAACAGAGCCAGACTTGGTCATCATGCCATCTTGGCACCCTGGCCAGATTGAAATCAGCTTAAGAACCTTCAAGTGAGGTTGAAGTTGCTGCTGTGGTGAGCACGGCACCTCCTGGAAGCCTTCGTGGGAGTGGCTTCCTGCAAGGATCAGGCTGTTGTGTGCCAGCATGTCACTGTGCTCATAGTCACAATCGTGCTGCAGCATGGGTGGGCGGAGCCTGGCTTTATTCCTCTTGCAGTGTGATGGGGTCAGGAGCGGGTGGCCCCATGCCAGTAGGCCACGTCTGCTTTCTTTGCCCCCTGAATGTTCAGGGTGACCCATCTCAAGGTAGGTGCAGCAGCCTGGGACTTGTCAAACTGAATCTTGAGGGACGTACTTCTTCTTAAACAGGTCTCCTTACTCAGAAGCTGACCTATGAAAATGGGCTGTTGAAAATGAACTACACTGGGGGGGATACATGCCATCAGGTGTACCAGCGCTCTACCACCATCCTCTTCTACTGTGACCGGAGCACCAGAAGGTGAGCTGTGCCAACAGCCTCACGGGGAGACACCTGCCCTCCCGCGGCAGCTGCTGTCTTTACAAAATGAGTCTGCTTTCTTTTGGGTCCGTTAAACCCCTCAGAACCTCAGTTTAACATACATTACTTACAGAAAATGTGTCGAAACGTCAGTCTGCTCATATAGGTTTTAATGGACATAGCCATCCTCACTGTTTTTATCCCTGAGACTCCAAATGTGAACAGGAGAAATCCTTCGTCCCCATTTTTTTCCTTCCTTCCTTCCTTTCTCCCTCCCTCCCTTCCTCCCTCCCTTCCTCCCTTCCTTCCTTCTTTTTCCTCCCTCACTCCCTCCTTTACTCCCTTCCCTTCTCCCCTTTACTCCCCTCCCTGCCTAACTTTGTTGAGGTGGGGGTCTCACTAACTTTTTTGCCCAGGCTGGCCTCCAAATGTGATCCTCCCAGTCTCTGCCTCCTGCATAGCTAGGAATACAGGTATGAGCCACTGTGCCTGGCCTGCATTCCCATTCTTAATGTGTCTGTCTTTACTTTTCCAGCCAGTGTTTCTGAAGGAGACATCAGATTGCTCCTACTTGTTTGAATGGCGGACGCAGTATGCCTGCCCGCCTTTCAATGTGACCGAGTGTTCCTTCAAGTGAGTTGTGTGTGGCTGACGCTTGGTATGCTCTTGCTTTAATAACTAATGGTCTGGGTGACAGGATGGGATCAGTCAGCTCTTTCTCTGCATTAACATGAAATGAGGAGTTGGGCTTCTGAGCATCTCACCTTTGAGAGTCTGTGATTGTTGTACACCGCATTCATGTGGGGAGGTGATAGAAACAACCAGAGTTGCAATCTCCCTGGTTCCCAATTGTAGGTGGAATAGAGTGGGCCAGGCCCTCCCTCTGCCCTTTTCTCAGACCCTGCTGTATCAGTGATGCCATGATGAGGAGACGGTGGCCATTTCCCAAGTCCTTATAGCATGAAGAGAGTGACAGACACTCACGTGGGTGTTGGGTGAGGGAACGTGGTGGAGTGATGCCATCCTGCCAGTTTTCAGTGTCCTCGCAGATCCTTTGATGTCTTTGCTCCTGTGACCCTGACATGCTCCTAAGATAAGGTAGAGGCCTCCATTGTGTATGGATTTCCACAGAAGCACTCTTGGAACTTCAAGTACACACTAGGTTTCATCCCAGGTGACACTGATTCGTAGGTCTGTGGTTTTGTATTTTGGGTTTTTTTCCTTTGCTGTACTGAGGTTCCAACTCAAGGCCTTGCCCTAGCTAGGCAGGTGCTCTACCACTTGAGTCACACTTCCATCCCCTTTTTTGTTTTAGTTATTTTTAGTTATTTTTCAGATAGGCCAACATGCCTATGGTTTTGCATTTTGAGGGGACCTGCTGGCAGTTCTCATGTGTGATGGTGCCACCCTATAAAAGCTGCATGGTCACGCATGCTGGCCGGGGGAAAGCGTTACTGCTTCTGTACTTTCCCTCCAGCCTTTATTGTTGCGTTGTATGTTTTTTATGTAGGGGAGTAATTTAAATTTTAGTACTATATGTAATTGCATACATTTAGTAATTTTGTTTGTAACTTCATAATTTTAGTAACGTTACCATTTCTAGTTCATATTTTATAAATATTTTCTTGTGACACAAATTTGTTTCTTTATTTTTAATCTACTATTTTTCTGAGTAGATACCTGATTCTTTTGCTGTCATTTGAAATGTTTGTAGTGGCTTTTGTCTTTTCTTGTTCAGTACTGGGATTGAACTCAGGACCTCATGCTTGCAAGTCAAGCACTCTGCCACTTGAGTTACATTCCCAGTACTTTTGGCTTAGCAGAAGGTCAACCCAAGCCTGTGTTTATTTCCCTGACCTTTGTCTCAGGTTAGTCAGCAGGTGGCCTGCTGGGGAGTGGCTGAGGCCTTGTGTGCTCTGAGTGTGTCAGCTGGTGCCTCATGGGCCAGCGAGCTCCATTCCCCACTGGCCTGCCCTTGAAAAGCACTTTTTTAGACTTAACTCTGGATAATTAATTTTGCTAAAGTGAGTCTTGGAGTTGCCTGAACTCAGAGTTTTTTGTTGCTGATTCCTCCACCATGTGGAGAGAGGTCCCTATAAAGTTCTGTCCATAGGCAAAGTTTGAGGACATCGGGGGCAGACTGAAATGCTTGAGCCTTTGTGAATGGAACACTAAGCGTGTCCCTGGAACTAATCTGAATATGACTCTGGCATTCTTTTCCTGCAGGGACGGGGCTGGCAACTCCTTTGACCTCTCACCCTTGTCAAGGTACAGTGACAACTGGGAGGCTGTGACCAGGACAGGGGCCACCGAGCACTACCTCATCAATGTGTGCAAGTCACTGGCTCCACAGGCCAGTGGCACTGGTAAGAGGGGCAGTCCCTTGTGGAGTGGCTGTCTGTTGTGAGCCTTCGGGGATGGCAGGGTGGGAGTGGCCTTAGAGGCTTCTGCTCTGCTCTTAGGTTGAGAAGTAACAGGAGTAGAATTGAATGGTCTTAGTGACTGTCCCTGGTTCATTAAACACTGAGTGCTCTCTGGGAATGTGGTAACCTTTTCTGAACACGAGGAGGTAGCAGGGGATAGAAAGAAAGGCTGCAAGAAATTCTGAGCAGGGTGGGAGACTGGAGGGTGAACAGAGACCCTGGTGTTGCCTGCTGTGTTTGTTGAGGGTCCTTGCATTCTCTGGAGACCAGCTCATCGGTTCTGGGGAGGAAACTGGCAGGGTGGAAACTGCCTGCCAGGTGTCTTCCAGGTGTCTTATTTGGGACACTCCCCAGGGAATTCTCTTGGAATCTTGAAGAGGAAGTCAGTTTCCTGAGGTTTGACACAGCCCCACCTACACCATGGATGGCCCAGCTTAGGGGTCCTGTTTTTTTTTTTAATGCAGAAGTTGTTTTTTATCCTTGTTGCTATTTGAGGCTGTGGCCCACTTCCCCTGCTGTGTTGTGCTGGGCAGGCTACGGGGCTGGTTTTTCCTCTAGGGCAGGTGGCACAGGTGCTTGGGGACTAGGAAATCAGAAGTTCTTGGTGACTTCTTCATTAAGAGAGCATGAATGGGGCTGAGGTGTGGCTCAAGTGGTGGAGTGCTGGCTTAGTAGGGCAAAGTGAATCCCAATTCAAACTGACAATAATAAAACCCAAAAAAACCTCCAGTGCATGGGGCTTAGAAATGATGTAGACTGGTGTGTGTTGGATACCCCACCCAGCCACAACTCCTGTCCCAACCCACCTGTGGTAAAATGGCATTTCAATGAGTGGAAAACTCCTGCTGACTTAGGTGACAGAAGTAGGTATTTTGGAGTGACTATGAAGGGAGATTGGGGTGCAGTTTCATAGCCATCTGCTATTTGCTTGCTGGCAAAACCATTCTGCACTGCAGTCATCCAAGATAACTCTCAATGTGTTGCAGAGCCATGTCCTCCGGAGGCGGCTGTGTGTCTGCTGGATGGCTCCAAGCCCGTGAACCTTGGCAAAGTAAGGGATGGTCCTCAGTGGAAAGAAGGTGTGACTGTCCTGAAGTATGTGGACGGTGACTGGTGTCCAGATAAGATTCGGAAAAAGTCAACCACCATCCGGTTCGCTTGCAGTGAGAGCCAAGTGGTGAGTGATGTGGTTTCTTAGCCCCTGATGTGTGACTTCCAGAGCAGAGCAGGTCCAGGGCGCAGTGAGGCTGATGTCCTCACTTCCTGGGGTACAAGCTGAAGAGCTCAGGATGTTGTGGTTGGAGTGAGTGGGCTGGGTTGCCACAGGGTGACATATGGCCTCTTTGGTCCCTAGGTGCTTAGCATGGCAATTGTAGGCCTGGAATTTGTTGGTCCTCTTTGAAGTCAGGCTCAGATCCCCAAAGACCATCCAGGAAACTGGTCCTTGACACCATGTCCACATCTGTGGAGGCAGCTTGGGGGAGAGAAGCCAGTTGAGCAGACCCAGATCAAAGTAGCTTCTCCACTTACTAAATGGGAGCTTGGTTCATTGTGTCAGCATGGTGAACAGCTATAAGCTGTTATACACTACAGCCCTGGCAGGCCTGTCTCTCCACTATGAGGTGTAAAGGGAAGATGCATCACTTCCAGTGCATTGTGAGAGCATCTAGATGGGGCTGGTCTTCCCTCCAAGTTTGCTCCTTTCCCTGGTTGCCCATTGTGTGCATCGAACAGGTGTTGATGGCATGAGTAGGCTCCCTGTGACACTGGAGGGGCTCCGTGTGCTGCTGTGAGTGATGGGATTATAGCTGAGTTTGGGAGCAAGGCCAGGCTGGAGCAGCTCCCTCTGTGTTAGGGTGACTCACTCAGCCCTCTCAGCTGTGGTGATGTCGTCGTAGGAGGAGCCCAGGTCAAGGGGAGCTCCAGGAGCCTGGTCCCTCCCAGCTGGAGCTGGGACCCCCATGCCTTCTGGAAGCAGGAAGCTTGGCTAGCTTCTGAGCTGCTGTGCTAGCTCACAGACTCTGCAGGCTGCCTCACTACTGCCAGAGCCTGCAGGCTACCTGACACACAGGAGGGAATAGTGGGGTGGTGTGAGGGCCACTGTGCCTGTGTCCTGAGGGCTGGACGGGTCATGTATGGGAATGAGGTACTGTGCTGCTGAGTGATTTACCCTCATTCCATGGGAAGTGTGTGAGACCAGTAGCAAGCTATGGCCAGTGCCAGCCACAGGGTTAGGGTTAATGACTAGTTTTCCTGGTGGGTCTTTCCATTTTGACCGTAACAGGTGTGTGTTTAATAGGGGTTTATCAGCTACTTGTTCATTTGTGTTGTACAGTGGCCATTGGCGCCTACTTTGCCTGCAGTCCTCAGGGCTGTTCTGGGAGCCCATCTGGTCCCTCATTTGGTTTCGGTGCCCTGGGTGTTTTGCTGACCTGCCTGTGTGAGGTCGAGAGGGTATCTTGGTCACATGTCTTTGCCCATTGCTTTTCCTGACTCCTCCTCCTCCTCCCAAAGTAAAATAGTGGGCCTGCCCCACGCTTATGGGGTATTTGCACACACTTCCCCTGTGTGGGGTGGGAATTGCCACGAAATAACTTGTGTGATGTGGGACTGTGTTCTGTTGCAGAATTCCCGGCCACTGTTGTCAGCGCTGTACAGGACTGTGAGTACACCTTCTCTTGGCCCACAGCTGCTGCCTGTCCTGTGAAGAGCAATGTGCACGATGACTGCCAAGTCAGCAACCCCAGCACAGGTGAGGGACCCACGGAGATGCTGTGGGCGGCCAGGTGTCCTGTGTTCCATGGTGTGGGGGGTCATGATTGGCCTCTTCTCTGGGTCAGGCCTGATTGCCCACTCCTAGTTCTCCCTCCCTAATGGTCAGTCTGCATGACCCTGGGTGTGTGGTGTGCCCTCACTGGCCTTGCTGACGCCGCCAGCCACTCCAGCTCCAGGCTCTCCAGAGCTCACCACCTTTCGAGGTAACTTGGCAGACAAGCAGAAGGCTTCTGTCTTCTCTGTGCTGGGCACACAGAAAGGCTTGGGTGGCACATTGGCAGTGAGAGATGCCGTCAGGCTGCTGATGTACAGTCCCTGGAGGAGTGGATGCAGTCAGCCACAGTCTTTAGGGAAAGATGGGTCACCTTGTAAATCTGGGGACTGATAATGGGAACATTTTAGAGTATCATCAGTGAGTGGTGGCAAGGAGTCAGGCATTCCCTCATTGACACAATCCATGTGAGCTCGTTGGTGACAGTCTTGCGGTAATCTGAATTTGAGATATGCTGAGGCAGTTTAGCAGGAAGCAACGTTTTATAGTGCCGGCACAGACCCAGCGGACTTGTGTCCAAAGGCTGAGCCCTGAGAACAAAGGAGTCTCACCTTATACACAGGTTACAGAAGCAAAAAGCATGGTCTAATCCACATATGGTGATACTCAGTTCTGTAAGCTACTTTACCCCCTCCCCAGTGCTATGTGACCCTCTCCACATTCAGATTCCTCAGGTTTTATCTCTCTGTTATGTCATTCCCACCTCCCTGCTACTTTATCAAAACTCAGGCTTAGTCTGCTTTCTTCTGATCCTCCTCCCTACTGCAACAGGACTCTTGAGTCTGAGCTCCCTAGAGTCACTGTGTCCCCCATCCCTTCCACTTTATAGGACACCTGTTTGACTTGAGTTCCTTAAGTGGCAGAGCTGGCTTCACAGCTGCTTATAGCGAGAAGGGGCTTGTCTACATGAGTATCTGCGGGGAGAATGAGAACTGCGCCCCGGGCGTGGGTAAGTGCCGTGGCCTCTCCTGTGGGATCTGACTCTGCTGATCCTGGGGTTGGCCTCAGCTGATTACTGCAGGCTGTGGTGGGAATGAAGGCATTCCAGATGCACACCACGTCTCCTGTAGCAGTCAGGAGCTACATGGCTATGTGATGAAGTACGAAATGTGTAACATTGGCCAAAACCAGATTGGACACTTACGGTGACAAGTTATAGCTATGATCTGGAGAAAGTTCTCTCAGATAATAGGCCACTGAGTCACTAACTGTGCTTTCTTGGTCCTTTTGTGTGGTGCAGGTGCCTGCTTTGGACAGACCAGGATCAGTGTTGGCAAGGCCAGCAAGAGACTGAGCTACGTGGATCAGGTCTTGCAGTTGGTATACGAGGATGGGTCCCCATGTCCCTCCAAATCTGGCTTGACCTACAAGAGTGTCATCAGCTTTGTATGCAGGCCTGAGGCCGGACCCACCAACAGGCCCATGCTTATCTCATTGGACAAGCAGACATGCACACTCTTCTTCTCCTGGCACACTCCTCTGGCATGTGAGCAAGTGGTGAGTGTGGAGAAGAGAGGCCCCAGGCTGGCCACACCCAGCTCCTGCAATGAGTTTACTGCAGCTCAATCGTCCCCAGCAGATCCCCAGCTAACCCCATCCCCTCCTGACTGTCTCAATAGTGAAGTGATGGAAAGTACCCAAAAGCCTGTGAACTGTTTTGAGACTTAACCTATCCTTTGTGCTTTTGTTGTTTGACTTTTAAATTCTTAGAGATGATGATATATGTCATAAGGAAAAGTTTTGTGCAGACTTAAATGCAGTCTTTATTATTTAACAGATGGACTGTACCGTGCGGAACGGAAGCTCTATTATTGACTTGTCTCCTCTCATCCATCGCACCGGCGGTTATGAAGCATATGATGAAAGTGAGGATGACTCCTCTGACACCAATCCCGACTTCTACATCAACATCTGCCAGCCACTAAATCCCATGCACGGAGTGCCCTGTCCTGCCGGTGCCGCGGTGTGCAAAGTTCCTGTCAGTGGGCCCCCGATAGTAAGTGCAGTGTCCAAGGGTGGAGAGGAATCTGTGCAGGACTTTGGACAGTAACCTCCAGCTGTGCTTCTAGCTTTCAGTGGAAAGTTACTCAAGCAGAAAGAGTGAAGAATGAGCTGCCTGTAAGGGAGGATTAACGTAAGGGTTTGTGCATTGAATTACCAGCCAACAATGGCAGCCAGAAAGTCTGAGCTGTGCAAGAAAACATGACCACGAATGTGCAAGTAAACTCTTCAGGGTCATGAGAGGCACCTATGTTGACTCTGATCAAGAGATGTATTAAAGAGGCAAGAGAGAACATTGGCATAGGTTGTTGTTTTGTTAGAAATACTTGTGTTAATGACAATGCTTGTGAAAGCTAAATACTTTCTTTGGTAATGAGTTATAAATTAGGGCAAGAGAATGTTTACTAATCGCTAAATATTCAGCCTTGAAAGCTTTGGCACATTTTGGTACAGATTTAGATCTTTAAAAATTACCTCCATGAGTTATATTTTGTCAAATCCTCTGGGTGCTTCCACTCTTGAACTGTATCTCAGTTGTCAGGTTGTCTGCATGCTTCAACAGGTGAGTCTTCTTACAGGACATCTAAGTCTTTAAATGATGGACGCTATGTGTGACATTATGCAGAGAAATGCTGGGAGTGAACCGTGTCTGAGAGGAACAGGCCTGCAGAGCCAATCTTGATTAGAAGCACTCGAGTGACTTCCTGAGGGGCAGGTTAGGGAGGTTCGACTGTAGTCATGTTTTGAGATGTCCAGCCTGCTGAATTCTGCTGCTTGGCCATCCTTTGTGAGATTTAAAAATTTTTCTTCTAAATTCTTTAATTGGAAAAGGTGTTCATGTGTTCTGAACATGCCTCACAGTGATGAATGAAGAGCTTTGCAGATGACTGCAAAATCACGGGAAGAAGCAGAGATAGACACACAGTCATACACACAGACACACTCATACACAGATAATCACACTCATGTACACACTCACACAATCATACACTTCTACCCACATATACCCTCATACACCCACTCTTGCACACAAACACATTTTCATCACATACACTTCCTGGTCATTTGCCTTTCTTCCATTAAAAAGTATTCATTGAGCAGCCTCTGTACGGCAGAAGCTACACTAAGCAGTAAAAGTTAGTGAACAAGCCTGGTGCCAGTGGCTCACACCTATAATCCTGGCTACTCAGGAGGCTGTGATCAGGAGGATCCTGGTTCAAAGCCAGCCTGGGCAAATAATTCGAAAGCCCCTATCTTGAGAAAACCCATCACAAAAAAGGGCTGGTGGAAAGGCTCAAGGTGAAGGCCCTGAGTTCAAGCCCCAGTACCACAAAAAAAAAAAAAAAAAATTAGTGAGCAAGCCCTGGCCCCACAGGCACTGCCAAGATGGTTAAAGGGACAGTCTCTATACAATAGAGGAATATTGGAGTATGACATTATTAACTCCTGCCTTCCACCCTTGGGGTGTGGGGAGGACTGTGTGGTATCTTTGATATGAATGCAGAGAGAAATTTCTGTTGCTGAGGATCTGAAAGATGAAAAAGAATAGAAATACCCTGGGGACCCCAACTAACAACTACACCACACTTCAGCATCTCCATACCCGGTTCCTGCTTGGGTTGACGGGCACCCAGTTTCTATAGATGCTACTTATTTTCAGCATGATGAAGTATGACGGTTCTGTATGAGCTCTTACTCAATCCTCTAACGTTGGGAACAATTAGTTTCCTGAAATGCTCTTTGCTTTGTCCTTTGTTTAGGACATCGGCCGGGTCACAGGCCCTCCAATATTCAATCCTGTGGCAAATGATATCTACCTGAATTTTGAGAGCAGTACTCCTTGCTTAGCAGAGAAGCATTCCAACTACACCTCACTCATCGTGTTTCACTGCAAGAGAGGTGTCAGCATGGTAAGTGTGCTTCCTGTCACCGTTCAGACACTGTCCTGTGGGTCAGTGAGCCAGGCTGGATAGCTGGAAAGGGCATTGTTTGGTCAAAAGCCTGCCTTGGTGATACAGTCTGTCAGTGATGCATCTGGGTAATTTAAAACCATTAATTAAGGAATGAGTATAGAAATGCCATTCAGAACTAACTACTAATGTACAAAAGGTTTAAAACTTCTGTTGTTGTTTGACTGTAACATTACCAGTTTTCTTAACGGAAGTCAGACTTGAACAACCACTATCATTCAGAATATAGCAAAATTCAGAAGTCAGCAAAGAGCAAAAGACATCTGGTGTCAAGGTCACTGTAGTGAAATAGTGCGTTTTGCTTAAGGTTGTAGAGTTCTATTTTCTGCATTTAGAAAATAAGGCCAGCTTCCAGTTTAGTGAGAAACGTCTTGTAGTAGAGTTTTAATCTTATCTTGCCCTCCTTCCCACCAAGAGATAGGTCGGGAGGATCTGACCCCGCTTCCTGGTGACTAGTGAGACTCACCAGAGCCAGTGCCAACTGCTGTTCAGGTAGATGGCTCTGCCTGGGTGGTACAACCCACCGCTCTGTGCTTCTGAGATCCAGAAATCTCTGGAAACTTGTCACTCCTTTGATATGGGTGGACTGACACCATTTATGGTCCGTTTATCCCACCTAGTGTGAGCATTCCTTCATCCTACTGCAAAGATTACAGGACTGTGTGTGTGTGTGTGTGTGTGTGTGTGTGTTTGTTTTAATAGAAATAACACATCTCAGGTTGTCTCTTAGAAACCTAAAGACGATGAATTCTGAGGCTCACCTGACCCTTGGGTGCAGGTGATGGGTTACGGTCCTATAGAGAGACTTCTCAATAAATAATAGTCGACTGTCATTTCTTGGCCTGAAGCACGTATAAAGGGAAAGTTGCTATGCTTGCTAGATGTATGTGTTGACAGTGGTAGAAAGTGACCAAGCAGCTACCTGACAGAGGAAAGGAAGCGTGGTAACTGAGGAAGGGAGTCAAACCACTGCTGCCTGGGGCCGCTCCACGCAAGCCCAGAGCCCCTCATGTCTGTCCCTGATCAGGACGCGTGGGTCTTAAGAGAGCTTCTTATCGTGGAAGCGTGAAACTGCTCTGGCTGCTGCTCTATCCCTGTGAGCACATCTGTATGTTCGGGAGGTTGGTCTGCGCCTTTTCAGACACACGCAGCTTAGGCCGCCACTGAACTTTTAGCCATGCTCCCGTCTCAGCAGTACTTCATTCCCTCACAGGGACTCTTCAGTCTGTCACAGGTCCACCTCTTCATGAAGGTCTCACACAACCACCTAGGCAGGTACAAGTGTCCGTGGCTGTAAACCACAGGCAGCTGGAGAGGTGTAAATGGCTGATGCCCTAGGTGGTTCTCACCCTAGGTGGTTCTCAGGGCAGCTGCACCTTGTGTGCTTGCTGCTCACTTGACTTAAGAAATGCCATCCCATGCTGAATGTGTGCTCAGCTTGGGAAAGGTTTTAAACAGCTTTTCCTTCCCCACTTTTCTATCTTTAGTGCAAGTACATTTTCCATTTGTTTCTGTATTTGAGGCAGGGTTTCACTGTGTAGCGCAGGCTGGATATTCCTGCCTTAGTTTCCCAAGTGCTGGGATTACAGGGTACTCCTCCACATCCTGCTTGCTTTTTCTACTTGACCAGAGAAAAGATTCCCAGCAGCAATCACAAATGGCACCCTAACCAGCTGCCTTGTCTGTCTTCGTTGCTGTTGAATGAGGAGGAATAAACAAACTGGTTAAAAAATATGGGGCTTGTGGAATTCCTGGCCAAGTCACATTTTGCCCTCATTGTAAGAGCCCCTAGCATCTCCATGTGTTTGCAAGCATGTGGATGTGCTTGCTGCCTTCCTTTGCAGTGACAGGGTGTCACTCTCAGAGACTTCTTCTGTGGCAGTTAAAGACCCCCCATTTCCCCTCAGGAGCCTATATAGCAGGCATTCTTACTTATTCAGGCACTCTTACCTGTTCTTACCTGGAATTAGGGCTGTGCGGAGTGGTCACAGGTACCTACATAGGCCCCGAGGACAACATTGGTTCTTCCCTTGTGGGTTACATGGTCCCCGTTGGTCTGCATGGTCACAGCACTGCTCTCTGGGTATGGCACGTGGGCAGGTGCTTGCCAGATGAGAGGGAAGAAGACAGCTACTGTACTTATACTCTGTTGTGTGTGTTTGAGACAGCATCTGACTATGTAGCCCAGACCAGGCTCAAACTAGTGATCCTCCTGCCTCTCCTTCAAGTGCTGAGGTTACAGGAGTGGGCAACCTCCCCTGGCTCACACTTTATGGTTTGTAAGATCCACACTCTTCTCAAACACAGGGGACTCCTAAGCTCATAAGGACCAGTGATTGCGACTTTGTGTTTGAGTGGGAGACTCCTATTGTCTGTCCCGATGAAGTGAAGATGGAGGGCTGTGCCCTGACAGACGAGCAACTGCTCTACAGCTTCAACCTGTCCAGCCTCTCCAAGAGTACAGTCAAGGTAAGGCTGTCCTCCTACAGCCTTGCCTTCTCTCATTGTGCCCATCCAGGATCTGAGTAGCACAGCCAGTACTTGTGTTGTACTGTACAGGTCAGAGGGGTTCTGTACTTGGGCTTTGTGAGGATCAGATGACCTAAAGAAGTAGGAAGTGAAATTGTGTCAGAGAATAGGTATGGCAGCTTGGAGGCATGCATGGGACCATGTGCCTCTTGGGACCAGGCCAGATCTAATGTGGCCAGCAGAAATTCACAGGGAATTCCTCTTTGTTGCCAGGCTGGTTTTAAGATAGGCAGTTGGCTGCCACTACCAGAGACAATGGGAGGTACCTTGATTTTCAGCCCCTGGCCTGTGTGACAGTGACTGTCAATGAGGTCATTGTCATTGGTGGCTAAGCCTCTGGACCTTATCTAAGACTGGTGAGCTATGTGTCATACAAGTTATTACACTGTAAGGACCAGGCTACAAGCCCCAGCACCTGCCTGGGCATGGAAGCTGTGCTGATGAGTGGTGAGTTTGAACTCTTTGCTCAGGGGCTGGCATCTTGGCTCCTGGGACAGAGCCCTCTCCCCAGGTATAGGGTCCTCCCCCTGCATAGCAGATGAGCCTGGAGAGAGTGAAGTGGGCTAGGAGAGCCCATTTCTGTGTTCTGTGTGGAGCTCAGCTCATTGACTCAGCCTCACAATGCCCTAGTTCCCAGGTGAGGAAACGTTGACTTCAGGAAGGTGGGATGAAGCCCTGCAGGGTCTGGCTGGGAGGGCAGCCAGGGCAGCCACCTTGGGCCACCTTAGTCACTACAAGGGGGCAGGAGGGGGAAGTTGGCCTGGAGTGAAAGAGGCTTGACTTCCCCCCTCCCAGTGGTCAGAGGGAGTCACTAAAGAGCCAGCAGGGCATTTTTTGTTGTCCTGAATAGATGGCCAGGGCCTGCCGAGAAGGCAGGTGAGCCCAAGGCCCTGATGCACAGGGACAGAGCCTCTGACCACCCTTTGACACGAGCTTGTCTTGCCTGGAGCCCCAGGTGCGGCCACTCTGTTCACAGTCACACGGGGGGGTTTGTGCAGGTGACTCGGGACTCACGCACATACAGCGTTGGGGTGTGCACTGCGGCAGCTGGCCCAGACCAAGGAGGCTGTAAGGATGGTGGCGTCTGTTTGCTCTCTGGGAACAAGGGGGCGTCCTTTGGACGATTGGCATCCATGCAACTGGATTACAGGCACCAGGACGAAGCGGTCATTCTGAGTTATGTGAATGGTGATACTTGCCCTCCAGGTAAACCTTCACAACAGGGCAAAATTTAAATTCCTGATAAACATGAAATTAGAGCTGGGTGTCAGGGGCTCACCGTTGTAATCCTAGTTATTTGGGAGGATGGGATCAGGAGGCTTGAGGCCAACTTGGGCAAAAAAAAAAATTTGCGAGACTCCCTCCCAACACCCCCCCCCGCCCCTCCCCCACCTCAACCAGTAGCTGGGTGCAGTGGCTTACCTGTCATCCCACCTTTGGCAGGAAGAATAAAATAGGATCACAGTCTAGGCTGGCCTGAGCAGAAAGTGAGACCCCATCTCAAAAATAACTAGAGCAAAAAGGACTGGGAGCGTGGCAGAGCACCTGCTTAGCAAGCGCAGAGCCCTCAGTTGAAATTCTAGTACCACAGAAAAACAAAAGAAAATAAACTTAGCAGCAGGAAAAAGTCTGAGGACTACAGCTTCAAATTCTTGCAGCAGCTTTGATTTGAACATGACCCATTGCATCATTCCTCTCCATATTTTGAAAGGCACTATAGTCAGTTAGTTGCTTGCTGAGTTTTGGCAGGAGAATCTTGGTTGTTACACAGGTGACTTAAGGTTGACAGCTGCCTTAAGGGCTTCTTGGTGGGCATCCTTTTGTGATGGTACCTAGTAAGGCACGGCAGATGTCATATTGAGTCTGGATTGGTCACTTGTTTTTTCTTTCCAGAAACTGACCACGGTGACCCCTGTGTCTTCCCCTTCGTATTCAATGGGAAGAGCTATGAGGAGTGTGTTCTGGAGGGACGGGCAAAGCTTTGGTGTAGTACTACTGCAAACTATGACAGAGACCGCGAGTGGGGCTTCTGCAGACCGAGTAAGTGGGGAGCTTGTGGCCTGGGGCTGCGGGCATTGATCCTCTCACGGCTGACTCATACTGAGATCCTTGTGAATGTTCGAGTTAATTAAGACAGTGACTTTATTATATAAATTCTTTTCCTCCTCAGGGTTGTCTTCCATAGAGAAGTGTCTCAGTTGCTCCCTGGGATCATTGGGCAACTATAAGTGTGCACCATAGCAGAACACATGCCTGGCGGCCACTCACTAATTCAGGAAACTTTAGTTCACATACCAGTTTTCAAAACATTGGTAGTTCATATTAGTGCCTCAGCAAAGTGATTTCCTGTTCTGAGTCTCAGGGTGGTTTTAGGAAAAGCAAGGGGCTTATTCATTGACTGTCTATCATGTGGCCAGCACAGGGCAGAGGATGGCCAGGAAGGACTGGGGGCTTCATGACAAGCCAAACTTAGTGTCCTGACTCCCGTATTGCTAAGAAACCAGTGTCCTGAGAGGCTCCTGCTGACATGATGTGAGCTTCCAAGGAGGGTGACACCAGACGGACACATGAAAAATTTCATAATTCTTGTAAATGATCAGGGACCAAGTGGGACTGTTAAGGAGCGTAGAGTTTAAATTTACAAGGGACCACTATAGTTTTGAGGCTTATTTTGACAGTGCACTTGTGGCCATTGGATGACACTGAAGTTTTTTGGCAATTACAGGTCTTTTACTGTCATTATTTGTACATATCAAATGCCAGATGCCTCCTACAAGGACTCGTGCTCATGCTGTGGGATGTGAGGGAGCCAGGTCTGTTTGGAGTTAAGATCTACATGAGTGGAGACATGGCCAGGGCAGCTCATGGAGAGTGGCCATGATGACAGAGTCAGGAGGTGCTAACTGCAGCAGAATGGGGAGAGGAGTCGAGGCGAGCGCCAGGCACAGCCTGGGCCTAACCATGTCTACACCTGCTGCTCTCCAGCCAACAGCCACCGAATGTCTGCTATCATATTTAAGTGTGATGAAGATGAGGACATTGGGAGGCCACAGGTGTTGAGTGAAGTTCGTGGATGTGAGGTGACATTTGAGTGGAAAACCAAAGTTGTCTGCCCTCCAAAGAAGATGGAGTGCAAATTCATTCAGAAGCATAAAACCTATGACTTGAGACTACTGTCCTCCCTCACTGGATCCTGGTACTTCGTCCATGAAGGAGCCTCGTGAGTACCCTGCACCACTGGCTGGCCGTGCTGTCCACACTCCCAGGAGGCTTGTGGAAACTTGAGGTTCCTTCTTGGTAGTGGCTCATGGTGATTCAGCCATTTGGAAAGATGGGAATCTCACATATCTGGGGTGCTTGTGGTGGTCTCATTGATGTTGTCCTCCTGGGGCGCAGCCTAAAATGTCACTTATAGTCATTGTGCTTGGCTCTGAGGTCATAGTGGGCGTAGGAGTTCTGATGAGCAGAAACAGAGCCTTCGAAATGCCTGGCTGATGTAGGTAGGCTTGGTTTGGACTATGAGAGGCCACGCATTGCTGGGGTTTGTGCATGTTACAGATTTCCTCAGATCTTTGGCAAGAGCTCAGTAGGCTTCGCTTTTGCGAAAGATTGCAGGCTGGACTAATCTCTCTGACTGCTCCACTGCAGAGCACTCACTTTCTACCAGGTACCCTTAGATCCATGGGCCTCAGTGCAGAGCAGGGCAGGAATTGGAGCAACTTGTCAGAATTCAGCCGCTGCCTGTTCCAGCTCCACAGCTCTTCTTTCTCTTGACAGCATTGGGTGTCAGGTCTCAGTGGGGGCAGGTGTTTCAGTCCCCATGAGCCTGTTCAGTCACCTTCCACCTGCAGCGCTGACCTCCTCTCCAGCCCTTCTGCACTGTGTTCCATGGTGGGATGGAGCCCTTGGTCATCCCAGGTGTCCTAGGACAGGCTTAACTCACCTACTCATTCATCCCTTTGTGTGTCCTGTCCTGTAGGTACTTCATCAATCTGTGCCAGAGAGTATACAAAGGACCCCTGGGCTGCTCTGACAGAGCCAGCATTTGCAGAAAGACCGCGTCTGGCCAAGTCCAGGTCTTGGGACTCGTGCACACACAGAAGCTTGGTGTCCTGGGTAAGGCTTTGGGGTGCTGCTGTGCTTGGTTCCAGGTGTCACATCTGGGTTGGGATAGTGAGGCTGTCTTGGTGTGATGGGAGGGTGCCTGGGCTTTGGTGGAAACATGCAGATACTGTTATCATCTCTCAGGCAACTCCTGAAACGTGAAAAAATGCCACTTTGTGTCACCTGAGACTACAGGTCTGTCTAGTGTTGGAAGTTCCTCTCAAGTTCATGTTCTGGTTTTAGCTCAAGCGTCTAAATCTACATCTGCGTAGGAAATCTGGTTTAGGAAAGCCAGACGACAGGTGCCCGGACTGGGCACAATCAGGGTACATTTTCTTTACCATTTGGAAAATGTAAAAAAAAAAAACAAACCACATACATTCGGTCGTCAGTGGGATCTCCTGAGTTGTACTGATTAAACACAGATGATATGATATGAGTCTGTGAGTCAGTCCGAGGTGTCGAAATGGAGAAAGGGAGTCCTGAGGAAACCTCTGTGACTGATAAAACTATGCCCAGGTTCTGCGCGTTCATAGTGTAGGGAGGTGGCCAGGCCCCAGCCTGAGGGTCACCCTCTCCTGGAATCTTAGTATTTCCACATGGCTAAGGGTGGGAAACAGAGCCAGCCGCGTTTGGCAAGTCCAGGTCTTGCGTCTGGCCAAGTGCCACACAGAAGCTTGGTGTCCTGGAAGGCTTTGGGGTGCTGCTGTGCTTGGTTCCAGGTGTCACATCTGGGTTGGGATAGTGAGGAGGCTGGGTGATGGGAGGGTGCCTGGGCTTTGGTGGAAAACATGCACGAACTGTTATCATCTCTCAGGCAACTCTGAAAACGTGAAAAAGCCACTTTGTGTCACCTGAGACTACAGGTCTGTCTAGTGTTGGAAGTTCCTCTCAAGTTCATGTTCTGGTTTTAGCTCAAGCGTCTAAATCTACATCTGCGTAGGAAATCTGGTTTAGGAAAGCCAGACGACAGGTGCCCGGACTGGGCACAATCAGGGTACATTTTCTTTACCATTTGGAAAATGTAAAAAAAAAAAAAAAACCACATACATTCGGTCGTCAGTGGGATCTCCTGAGTTGTACTGATTAAACACAGATGATATGATATGAGTCTGTGAGTCAGTCCGAGGTGTCGAAATGGAGAAAGGGAGTCCTGAGGAAACCTCTGTGACCACTGATAAAACTCATGCCCAGGTTCTGCGCGTTCATAGTGTAGGGAGGTGGCCAGGCCCCAGCCTGAGGGTCACCCTCTCCCTGGAATCTTAGTATTTCCACATGGCTAAGGGTGGGAAAGGCTTCCGAAGGGTCCCACTTCTCAACACTTGCACTGGAGATTAAGTTTCCTACACAGAAACTTTGGTTTTGGTTTGGGTTTTTTTGAGGGGGGAGGGGGGAGGAAGGAGCGCTGGGGATGGAACCTGGGCCCTTGCACATGCCAGGCAAGAGCTCTACCACTGAGCTACACCCCCAGCTCCATCACATGGTCCTCAGGGGACACGTTCAAATTGTGACATTCTGCCCTTGGCCCTGAACATTCCTCCCTTCTCCCATGTGAAATACATTGATTCCATCCCCCAGTAGCCCCAAAATTTCACATCAACTGAAAAGCACCAAGTCTAGGGTCTCTTCTAAATCAGATATGGGCCAGATTCATGGCACCAGTCATCCCAAAGCAAACTCCCTTCCAACAGGAAGTCAAAACAGGTTGTCTTTCCAAAGTGTAATGGTGGGACAGGCATCAGGTAACACCCTACACCAAAAAGGAGGAATAGGCAAGAATAAAAGGTAAGTCCAGAACCCAACAGGGTGGCAGACAAACTTAGATCTTAAGACTACTATTACTACTATGCATTCCACATCCTAGGCACAGTGGGACAGAGACTGGGCCACCAAGGCCTTGGTCAGCCCGTTCCTCCTAACGTCATCACTGTTGGTTTGGGGTGAAGCTTCTGACATACAGCTTCTGGGGAACACACTCACACCATAGCTCCATGGGGGGACAGTAGAGAACAGTTAATAGGGAATACCACTGAGGTGGGGGAGGCGGTGGGTGCTGCTCAGATTGAGTGGGGTATTTGATCTCATTTTGTGGAAAAAATTTTCCTTAAAGTAGTGGAAAACTTTCTCTAAAAATGTACACAGAAACCCAATAGTTAAAGCTGGAGCAGCTTCAAATTTGGGAGAGGGCTGAGACCTGGAGTCAGCTGTCATCTCTCTGGTAGCACCCCCTGCTTCTTGGCCTGTGTCTTGTTTGGAGCACATGGGAAACCAGAATGACACCATGTTGATTCTAGCACATGCTTCTGCCTCAAAGGATGTGCAGGGGTTGTGAGACTGTGGCTGGAACACAAGTGCTCCTCTGGAAGACCTCTGTGCCATGCCCTGGATGTGTGTGTGTGTGTCTGCTGATCCAGGCAGGCCCAGGCTGTTCTCAGGGTACAGCAGCCTGGCAGTTGCCGGCAGTCTCTTTGCTGTAATATAAGAGTTGATACCTGATGTCATGGTGCCTCTCAGGTACTTGGCCACTTTTCTCTTAGGCTCGGAAGCTACAGGGCTTAACTTTTTACCATGTCATGTTCAAAGCAGACAGAGCTTGACTTCAAGCCAGAAGGCTTCAGCAAACAACAGTTGGCTTCTGTCTATGCTGAGATGAAGGGACCAGTCAGGAAAGCACGTACAATTACACTGAAGTTGTATTTTACTGAAGCAGTACTGATTGCTGTCAATGGCCAAGATCCTACATTTCCCTCACATGGTACAGGAACTTTCCCTATACCCCTGAAACCCACCACTTTGGATAATACTTCTATTCCAGGAGAGATGAGGGAGGCCTGCAGATTCAGCATCTCTGGGTCACGAAGCTCACGAGTGAAGAGCTCGGTTTGAAGCCAGGTCTTGCTGTACTGTGGCAGTGGCGAGGCAGGCTAGTGGCTGCTGCTGAGCACGGTGGTGCTAACAACAGGCCGCTGTACCATTGACAGCAAACTGGGTTTTGTTCTGGCCCTTAGGTTTCAACTTCTGATGTTGAGGCTTTTAATGAACTAGAAATAACACCAGTTCAACTGTTGTTGTGTTTCAGATAACAAAGTTACTGTCACCTACTCAAAGGGCTACGTCTGTGGTGATAATAAGACTGCATCCTCTGTGATAGAGCTGAGCTGTGCAAAGACTGTGGGCAGGCCTGTGTTCAGTAGGTGAGGTGATGGGCACAGCAGGAGCTCTGCAGAATATCTCCTATGGCTTCAAGTGGGAGTTTGAGGCTGAGGGTCGGTGGTGTTTGGGTTGTCACTATAGGGAGGGACTAGCAGCTGCTGGGACTAAGGTCTTGGGGAGCCAGAGCTGCTGACAGTCCCATCAGGTATAGGGCTGCTCCCCTTAAGAAGGGTTCCTTGGAGTGCTAGAATACCCTGTTCCTAGGTTCACATACTGCTCCAGCCTCCCTTGCCTTAGAAACCTGTGCTCCTGGACTGGGCTCACTGCTGCCGCACCAGCCATGTGGTGTTTCCACCCACTGACGGCATGGCATGGTGGAACCAGAGGTGTTGACTGCACCAGCCGAGGCCAAACTGTCCAAGCAACCTGTCTGGGACCACACCTGAGATGCTCTTGGGTTGCATTAGAATTCTCCAGGCACATTGCGTGGTGTTAGGGGGAGTTTGGCCAACAGTGGGAGCATGTGAGCTATTTGGAGAACAAACCCATTTCTTCTGGAAGCTGAGCTTAGAAAAAAAGGAGGCTCAGAAATTGTCAAAGGACTTTTGAATTTATGAGTCTAAGAAGCTTGTAAACCAGAAATGTACAAATCTAGAAGCAAGTTTTTTCCAGCTTTAAATGTGCATGGGTTTCTAAATGTTAAAATATTTTATTTGAAATCTGTTACTTTTTCATATTATGCATGGTGCTATACAGTCATCTTCCTTACTATGATGCTGGACAAAAGTGAATAATGCTCCTAGCTCAAAGCTGTCACCAGTGCTATGCAGCGTGGGGACCACCAGGTGTTCTGGGAGCCTTTGGGGCTGTCAGGGGGTCCTTGGAACACAGCTGGCCAGGCCTTTCCTGAGAGCCAGCGAGCTGCTTCTTAGGCTCGGCAAGCATGTATCTTGCAGCCTCTCTGTGTCTGGCCAGGAAGTGACCATCTGTGTTCCTTGTGTCCAGGTTTGATATCGACAGCTGCACCTACTACTTCCGCTGGGACTCGCGTGCAGCCTGCGCAGTGAGGCCTCAGGAGGTGCACATGGTGAATGGGACCCTCACCAACCCTGTGAACGGCAAGAGCTTCAGCCTTGGGGACATCTATTTTAAGTAAGTGAAATACTTTCCTTTTGACCACAGAAACGTGTTCAGAAGTAAACCCCAACCCACGCCTTTCCCTGGCGGGAGTGTTGAAAGATAAATAGGTCCGGTGTTTTAGTTACGGTTGCCAGAGTAGCTATCATATTTTGCTTAAACCAAAGAAAAGTATTACTCAACTAAAGGTTTAACACCAAAGATGGTGAATTCTGTGAGTATTCACAGAATAAAAATAAGGTACTTCTCCCTTCCTCCTCATTCCTGAGAAGTCCAGGATAGGCTCTGGAGGCTGGCCAAGCAGGAATCTTCTGATCTGACCAGTTTGTGGAGGTAAAGGTTGTTACTCAGCAGTGTCTGTGGGCTCTCTTGGGGTCCACTGGCCATGCAGGGGCCTAGTGAGTTGGGTGTGGCACTGGGTGTGGCAGCCACAGAATTTGAGAAAGGTTCATTCACGCCAGGAAGTGGAGCTGGTGGAACAGCAAGATGACTGAGATGGAAGTTGGTACCCTAGCATTGCTGTGGGGTCACAGAAGCACTGCCCCTTCTTGGGGACATAGGAGAAAGGAAGCCTCCTGGACCTTGCAGTTGTGTTTAAATGACTTCATGAAAGACTTCCAAATCACTGTGCTCTCCTCTGCCTCTCAGGCTGTTCAGTGCCTCTGGTGACATGAGGACCAACGGGGACAACTACCTGTATGAAATCCAGCTCTCCTCCATCACCAGCTCCACGAACCCCGCATGCTCTGGAGCCAACATCTGCCAGGTGAAGCCCAATGACCAGCACTTCAGCAGGAAAGTGGGCACCTCTGACAGGACCAAGTACTACATCCAAGGTAACTTGCTCCTTCCTGCTGACCTCCCATGTCCGCTCCCTGGCAGGAAGAACTAACGTTTTCATCAACACACTCCTTCACTTGAAATCTCAGATTGAGTTTAGCACAAAACCCCAGGATGGCACTGTGCCTAGGTGTGCACTTTGAGCAAGTGACCTGCACGGTCCATGTAAGACCCGAGAGTCTCACTGCAGGTGGCTCACGTCTCAGCTCACAGCCAAGCATGTGGCCGCACCTGTGTGACCCCATGCTGTGGAGCTGGGGTGGAGGTGCAGACAGGTGGGCACAATTAGACAAGCTCTGTCCTTACCGTGAAGCTTCCTGTAACAGTGGAGCAGGGTGAGATTACGTATTTGTCAAGAGCATCAAAGGAAGAGTGAAGAGATGCGTGGGCCTGCATGTGGGAAATGGCTGTGAGGAAGGTTTTATTCGGGCCGTGAGAAAGGCGGTGTCCTTGCTCCACATCCATCATGAAAGAGTATTCTTAGATGGTAGCTTGTGACATTTTGTTTTAAACAACTCTTTTTCACTATATACCTTTTGGAATGTGATTTTTTTTTCCCAGTACTGGAGATTGAACCCAGAACCAAATCTCCCTCTCCTCCCTGCAGCAGGGAAGCTACCTTTCACACACCCAAGGTTTCTGTCTGCATATGTTCAACTTCCATAACAGAGCTGGTCACAGTGAAACCTTCACCTCCACAAGGGGATGTTTATGCTGTTTGTTTCTGTTTGTTACTGTAGCGCTTTGTTTTTGTTTTTGTTTTAATTGCTTTGTAGCATATGCCTCAGGCTGGCCTCAAAACTTAAGATCCTCTTCCTCAGCCTCCAAAGTGCTGGGATTCAGATACGAGCCACCATGCTGGTTTATTTTATTCTTGGTTCCGAAAAATCTCTTTCAGACCACCTTATTTTATCCATCCACTTAGTAATAGAAAGTAGCTTTAGTTGCCCACTTCATGAAGAAATGCCATTTGTCCCTCTGTGAGTCTTTATCATTTGAGAAGACAAGAACAGGAGCCTATAGAACCCTGACTCCACCTTTACTGTGCAGCTGCTATCCAGGCTCTTCACCAGCTCCATGATTTGCTCCCACTCAGCCCTGCAGAACGTTTTGGCCAACCCCAAGAGGAAACATGGGGCCCTCAACATGATTCTGTGTCACCTCTATCCTGGGGCTCCCCACTGTGGACACATCCATCCCACACTATACTTTGGTCTCTGCATTCCTGCCTGATCAGTGTCTGAGCCACTCAGAGTTAAGAGGGAGCAGAGTCCACGCAAGGCTTCCCTCACCTCTGACAGTGTCATGTTCAGGCGTTCTCTGTCCTTCTGCTTGGTAACTTAACTCACTGGAAGCTATTGTGCTTGTGCTTCAAGCTATTGTGGTTGATTGCAGCAGGAGGATACAGATGGTAGTCAACCACAATAAGAACTATTCAGAGTAGGGTCTAGGCGAGAGTCGGACACAGTGCTGCCCAAGGCCTCCCCCCACCACCAAGGAGCCAGAATGTGCAGCTGTCCCCACAGTCATGTGTGACACTAAACACAGAGTATTGCCAGCCAGAGGTGTTTGCTGAGCTTCAGTGTCCAGAATTTTTGTTGAGGCTCCATTGTTCGGGCACTATTGATTGGTTGCCCATGTGGCTGATCTCAGTCTCCAGGTAGAGTGGTTCCGCCTTGTCATCTCCACTCCAAATTCTATCACTAGCCAAGAACAGAGGCCTGACCTCTTTTGGGTAAGGATAAATTCTTCACTACATGCTTACTTGGGACAGAGGCTCCTTGAGTGTGTGTTGAGTGGCTGCCTTTTTGAGCTGTGAAGGCAGAGTACACTTTAGACATTTGGTGAAGTATCTTTACATCCGATTTTAATTCTGTGCCAACCTTTGCAATCGGTGAAAGTATCAACTCAGTCTGTTATTGAAAGGTTGACGCTAACAGTGCAGTGGGTGGGTGTGCCTCTTCCTGCTTGACAGATGGCGATCTGGACATCGTGTTTGCCTCTTCCTCAAAGTGCGGGAAAGATAAGACCAAGTCTGTCTCTTCCACCATCTTCTTCCACTGTGACCCTCTGGTGAAGGATGGGATTCCCGAGTTCAGTCATGAGACTGCTGACTGCCAGTACCTCTTCTCCTGGTACACAGCTGCTGTGTGTCCTCTTGGGTAAGTGTCATGTCCTGGACACTCGGCATTGCCCTCCACAGCCTTAGGCTTGGGCTGCAATCCTCCTACCTCTGCTTCTTGATTATCTGGGATTACAGATGTGCACCACCTCACCTGGCTATATGAGTATTTTTAGTGAGCATTTTATACTTCATTCACTGACTTCCTGCAATGCTAGAGGAAGATCTAGTTCTTTTACACTCTCTCTACTTCCCAATAATAGCTACTTTACAATCTGGGGCCAAGAAGTACACAGCATTTATATATTTATGCTTTTGTTTAAAAAGAAAAGATAAAATACCAGAGCATGGCAGGTATAAGGTCTGTGAATGCTGCCAAAGAAGCTGAATGTATTGAAGTAAAGAGTAATTTAAGAAAGATTAAGACAGTGTGTGAACTGAATGTAAGAAATAGAGTTCTTGTTTACTGGAAGATACCAATTAATGAGTTAAAACAAAGAAAGAAATTAGAAAACTCATGTCCCTCAAAGAAGACAAAAAAAAAAGAAGAGCAGAAGCAAAATCAAGACAACCAGAAATAACTTAATTTGGTGGAAAACTAAATCAGTCATCATGATAAATGAAACAAACTACTACAGTTCCAATTAAAAGACAAATGTTAAATTGGATTTTAAAAACACTTTTTTTTTTTAAATTTTATTATTCATATGTGCATACAAGGCTTGGGTCATTTCTCCCCCCCTGCCCCCACCCTCTCCCTTACCACCCACTCCGCCCCGTCCCTCTCCCCCCTACCCCCTCAATACCCGGCAGAAACTATTTTGCCCTTATTTCTAATTTTGTTGAAGAGAGAGTATAAGCCATAATAGGAAGGAACAAGGGTTTTTGCTGGTTGAGATAAGGATAGCTATACAGGGAGTTGACTCACATTAATTTCTTGTGCATGTGTGTTACTTTTTTTTTTTTTTTTTAAATAAGGAATGCAGTATGCCTAAAACAACACAGAAAAGACCAAGGTCAGAGGATGAGAAAAGTGCCAGGAAAATAGTGTGAAGGGAAGCTGGAAAGCTGTGGGTGTCAGGGAAAGTGAGGTCCTGTGAAACAGTCTTAGGGTCACAGGCTGTTGGATTTTAAGGGTCAGTTCACTGGGAAGGTACAAGAGCCCAGAGCTCACACTAACCTCATAAGGAAGATCTGGTTTGTAAAGAAACCACAGAGCCACCAGGGAGAAAAGCCTAGTCACCTCCTATTGGCCATTGGTGGGTCACAACCACAGAAAGTAAGGCTCTTTAGAAGACTGGGATGACATTGAAGAAGCTGGATTGACTAGGCAATCCAGAGAATTCTGTTCCCAACAGTTGGCGAACACGTTCTTCCAGCTCACATGGAACATTTACAGGACTTTGTGCAAAGTAGTCTCTGTGAATGTCTGCGCATTGGTTCTATATAAACATGATATAATTAAGTGAGGAACCAAGACAAGCCACAGCTAAAGATACATAGCTACATTAGACACTAAAACCGGGTAATCTGTGGTTTCAAGAAGAAATCAAAGGTGGAAATTAAAGCACACTTAGAACGGATGGATGATGACAATGTCCCAGACCCGTCCATTGTGTTCCTGAATGGGCTGTGCTGGTTCTGGCTGGTCAGTCTGACTTGGAGGGAAGAGGACTGCGGGGTTCTCAGACTGATGTAAGCCCTACCCTTATGTGGCCAAAGTCCTTGGACTCAGTTAATTTGAATTCTTTTGGAACCAAACTTACCTAATTACTTACCTAAAGGAGTAGTCAGCGTCCTCACCATCAGACTTCCTTGCATGTGTGGCTTCTGAGGTCGCCTCTCTTTTACCCCAAGCTGGTGGATACTTCTCGTTGCTTTCTGCCTTCATGGGGCAGATCCTGCTGTGTCTTATGTATGTGTGGTGGCCCTGAATGACTGGAGGCCACACCAGGTCTTTACACTAACGTTGTCCTCTGAGCAGAAAGGACAGTCATTCTGGCTGTTTGTCTCTTTACACAGCCTCTTTTTACTTCCCATGGAGGCCTGCCCCACAGGCCTGAAAGGTGGTGTGTGGGTAGTTGTGGTGAAATGGCTGGGGTGTTTCACTAAGTCCTCCCAGCAGACCAGGCTTATGACAGAAGATTTCACAGTGTCCATGCCTAGGTCACCCTTTTCCCACATAGTCCCTACCTCAGAGAGCACTGTGGCGACCAAAGCCCTTCCCTGGGTGGTAGCTGTGTTTCCTCCCAGAATTAGTTCAGTGGTAAAAGAGAGGAACATCGGGAGGCGAAGGTGAGCCCCATCTTTGCCCAACCCCACAGAGCTGTGTGGGGATGGGCAAGCCCTGCAGGAGGTGGCGGGGCCAACCTAGCATCTGTCCAGTGATGGCCAGTCCTGGGCTTGTAGACCCTTGGGGCATTGCTGTGGTGGCTGCACCACAAGTGACATGCCTCCTTTCTTGTAATTTCTTTCCAGGGTGGGCTTTGACAGTGAGAATACTGGACTGGATGGGCAGGGACACAAGGGGCTCTCAGAGCGGAGTCAGGCCGTTGGGGCCATCCTCAGCCTGCTCCTGGTGGCACTGACTGGCTGCCTACTGGCTCTGCTGCTTCACAAGAAGGAAAGGAGGTAAGGAGAACAGTCAGGCAGGAGGGGATGATGCAGCCAGGTGAGCAGTTCAAAATCAGATCATGGGCTCAGGCTGGGTTTTTGGTTTTGTATTTGAATAAAATGTCTTAAAGTTATTACTTCAAAACTGTCCGGCAGTGGGCTCCACACATAGCTTTGTAAATGTCTGCATTTCCACGACACATTGTGTGATTGACAGAGCCCTGGCACTGTCCACAGGTGTGTGCAGGTTCTGAGATCATGCCACATGTGGATACACCACAGGCTCCTTGCCTGTGCCTGTAAGGGTCTAGGACAGTGGCCTTGTATTGTGTCCAAAGGTTGATGCAAAATTAAATATCATTTAGAAGCCACTGGCCAGTTGACCCTCCACCCTTCCCCGCTGTACAAGTCTTTATTAAGCACCCATTGTTGTCACATGGGATGCTTTCTTGTTGGCTGAATGTTGCTGGAGAGGTGGTGGAGTACTGACGGGCTCAGAATGCACATCCATGTGGCCGCCATCATGGTAGTCACCACCATGGTAGTCTCATCTGGCAGCCTCAGGGCAGTTACAAGAGTGTGGCCCTGTCATAGTCAAATGTAAAATACTCAAAACAGGACGGGCAGTGTGACTCAAGCCATATAGCGCCTGCCTAGCAAGCTTGCAGCCCTGAGTCCAAACCCCAGTACCACCAAGAAACAAATCAATAACAAAATCTCTCAAAGTGAAATGTTATATGACTGGTGCAGACCTGTGACTGCTGAGATGTGGAAAGGATTTGAGTCCTCTTCTGCCAAACCATGACAAACACATTGCTTTATAGCTCTCTGCCATAGTTGGTCATTCGTTTTGTTTGGAATGTCCATACCTTGGAAGCATGTATTTATGGAGGACACGCAGCCATTCACAAGGTGTCCCTCAGAAGCAGCCCATGCTGGGTTGTGGCCAGCCACGTTGGGCCCCTGCTCCCTTCCTCATTCTGCCCTGAACTAACTAGTCCCCTCTTTTATAGGGAAACTGTGATAAATAAGCTGACAAATTGCTGTCGGAGAAGCTCGAGTGTGTCCTACAAATACTCAAAGGTACTGTCTGAGTCTCGGGGTGCCCTTCTCCCCACTTATGCTGCCAGTAGGTAGCATCTGCACACACCAGGAAGAGCCTCATGGGAAACCTTAATATCCGGGAGGAAAGCCATTAGCTGTCACCTTACCCTCTCACCCAACACCATTTTTGTCTTTTCTTCTTGAAGTTTCTCTCATTATAGTTGTTATTGATTTCTTTCAGAATACTTAATTTTTGGGTTGTTAAAAGCCCTGGTGCTGGTGATTTCTGTGCATCCAGCCTTTGGGTGATTGCCTTCAGATAAACTTCCAAAGGGGCTCTCAGTATGTTTGTGGCTTTCAATACATTTTGCTAAGTCACTTTGTAAAATTAGGCTCTTTCTCACAAGTCCTTGCTGTGGCTTCTCTTATATACCAGAAGTCCCCTCCCTTGCCACATGGTAGGTCCCTTGCCATTGATGAGTCACTTGGAGGAGCCATTTCTCCCCAGCACTGCTGAGTGATCATGGGCCGATTCAGTCCCTTCTGCTTGGCCTGCCCATCTTGCTGCCAGGCTCCTGCCAAGTGGCTTCACTTGGGGCCCTAAGCAGCCCTCCTGCTTGGTTTGTACTCACTACAAGCAGACACATACTGCCATCCTGGTGTGGACTCGGGAACCAGAAACGTGGGGATTGTGATGATGAGCCCCGGGCCATTGCCCCAGCTCATGCCAGCAGGCAGGGCCCATGCTTGGAGTGGTCATATAACAAGAGTAACCAAGGAACCGAGTGGGGCTCACCTGGTCTCTGCTATTGCTCCCTGGCAGGTGAACAAGGAAGAAGAGACAGATGAGAATGAAACAGAGTGGCTGATGGAAGAGATCCAGTCACCAACTCCAAGACTGGGGAAAGAAGGGCAGGAAAATGGCCACATTACCACCAAGTCTGTGAAAGCAGAGGCCCTCACGTCCCTGCATGGGGATGACCAGGATAGTGAGGATGAGGTCCTGACCATCCCAGAAGTGAAAGTTCACTCAGGCAGAGGAGCTGGGGCAGAAAGCTCACACCCCATGAGAAACCCACCACGGAGGGAGAGGGAGGACGACCAGGTGGGGCTGGTCCAAGGGCAAAAAGCCAGGAAAGGGAAGCCCAGGCCTGGACAGAAGTCAGTGACCTCTTCCAAGCTGGTGTCCTTCCACGATGACAGTGACGAGGACCTTTTACACATTTAACTCCGTGGTGCCTACAGGAGAACGTGGAGCCATGGGACAGCCAAGCACCTCCAACCAAATAAGACTTCAACTCGATGCTTCTATAATTTTGCCTTTAACAAAAACTTCAAAAGGGAAGAGTTTTTGTGAGGGGGGAGAGGGTGAAGGAGGTCAGGCACTGCTCCTTCAGGATCGTTTACAGTTATTGGAACAAGGCATTGCTTGAATTGGCCAAAGGGCAGTTCCTCGTGCTGAGGGTTTTGCCCCAAGTCCTCCTTTCCAAGCATAGCTGCTGTGGCTTCTTCTAACAGGTGCCCAGGCCAGATGCATCTCAGAACAGAGGGCTGTGTTTGAAAAAAACCCTTGCTGCTTTAGACCCTATAGGGGTTTGACCATTTATATTTTAGCATTTTAATTCTCTCCCCCTATTTATTGACTTTGACAATTACTCAGGTTTGCAGAAAAGAAAAGAATAAAAAAAAAAGCCACAGTTTCTTCCTGCCTGCAGGGGCATAGAGCACGGGTCTGCATTGGAGCAGGGGAAGCCGTGCTGGGGTGGTTCCTTGTGGGATCTGGACTGGTCGCTAATGTGTCCCCTAAGTTGGCATACTCCATCTGCCTCCTCTCTCGCTTTCTGTTTCTAAAGGGTAGAGGTGTGCACAGGGTCCCCAGGGGCCTCGCTTGGGAGGGTTCGTCTGCTCTCTGCCTGTGTCAGTAATGTCTGCAGCTCTTTGTATGACTTCTTCAGGCTAAGGGATACAGAGAACACTTGTCAGTATTGCTTTCACCAGCTGGTGCATCCAAGCAGCCCACGCAGAGATGGGGTTTCTCTGCGCACGTGAGTGGCGTCAGGGTGTTAAGTGCGTGCACTATAGTCTCATCTCTTCAGGTTCTCATGATACCACCTGTACTGTGCTTATTTTTTTAAGAAAAAAAGTGTTTATCAACCATTCGATCTCTAAGAAGCCTTAATTTGCACAGTGCGTGACTTACGGAAATCGTAGTAACTGTGGTGGGCCAGGATCACTGGCGCTGTGTGTGGATCCATGGTTGGAGTGAGGCTCTCGGGTCGCGGGATGGAAGGGCAGGCCCAGTGTTCCTCCGCTGGCTGTTGACTCCTTTCTTCAGCGATGACTTCTCGCATTGTAGAATTGTATATAGGCTCAGTGGTACCCATGTACTGAAAAGCAACCACTCTGCAGAGTTCCTTGGTTTCTGCCTCATTTGGCTGGCTTATTTGATTTCAACATGAGTGTATTTTTTAAAATTGATTTTTCTCTTCTTTTTTTTTTTCAATCAACTTTACTGTAATATGAAGTATTCAACAATTTCAATAAAAGAGAAATTATTTATTGGGTGTTTGTTTTTTTTCCCCTCTTGATTGTGAAAACTTGCAGTTAGAGGCCACTCTCACCCACCTGCCTTTTCTGTTAAATTTAAAAAAAAAGTTTGAATTGGATTTTAACTTTGCCATCCTGCTTGACACCTGCTGAAGCAACTCTTCTGTTTTTCTCTGGCTCTTCGCAGTTGTTCGTGTTAACTCTGGTTCTAGTGTGCATTCCCTCAGCCGTAGCTAGATCTCAGCTCTACTTTTCCCACTTACACCAGGAGGGGTTTTTCTCCTGAATAAATTTACAAGTCTTAACAATTAAGGGCTATCTGATATTGACATGTAAGCAGAAACAGTTCTCACTTAAACAGTTTCACTGTGTCAGTTTACCTGTGGCCAAGTGTGGTTCAAAAATATTAAATGGAAAATCCCGTAAGTAATTCTTACAGTTTAAATTGTGCACCAGTCTGAGTAGATGAAATTGTGTCCCACGTGTGCCCAGGATGTGAATCGTCCCAGTGTCCAGTGTATCCACTCTGTATACACTATCCCCCATTAGTCACTAGCTGTCTCGGGTTTTGGGTTGGCTGTTTTCAGTATTGTGTTTGTGTTCAAGTAACCCTTGTGTTACTGAGTAACAGCCCCACAGCACAAGAGTTCTGATGTGAGCAATTCCAGTATGCCAAAAAAGAAGCCTTGAAGTGCTACTTTAGGCAAAATGGTGAAACTTAACTTCAGGAAAGAAAACCACACGTGGAGGTTGCTAAGATCTATTATGGTAAGTTATCTTTTCCTGAGCCTAATTTATAAACTTGATCATAGATATATATGTATAGTGAAACAGTATTATCTACAGTTTCAGGCATCACCTGGGGGTCCCGTGGATAAGGACGGACTATCATATAGTGTTAAAACTAGACTTAGCGTCCACAGACTTCTCTCCATCTCAATTTTAAATTACAAATTGGTGTCCCCCTCCCCCTCCTTAAATGAAGGATTCTGTAGTGTCTCTCCTGAGAAAGGCACTCTGTGGTCTCGCAAAGGTTTAGATTACGATTCTAGTCTCTGGTCCCTTATATCCAGGGGAATATTCTCCAAAGCATTCCCACTTCCTGCTAACCACTGGAAGCCCTCTCAGTAAAGGGGTGCTCGCAGGCACCTACTGCCCCTTGGCAATCTCAGTGGCAGGGAAGTGTGTTGCCAGCTCTGCCAGCTCCTGCTGCCAGCTCTGCTTCCCTCCAGCCCTCAGCAGATGGAGCAGTGAGGAGGGCATGTGAGCACCTCTGCCCTGATTTTCCTTAGGGACCTGCAGGCTCTACCCCCTACCTCTGAGAATGACTAGCATTTCCCCGCCAGCCGTTGTTGCAGACGCTTGTAGGAAAACCTGCCCCGATGGTAAATAAGAACTAGAATCTGCAGAGAAGTGATATTACTGATGCCTCATTTCTTTTTGGATAATTTTCTGTGCCTTGTTCTGAGCCTGCCCATTGAGTGACAGAGTATAGAATGAGTGTGGGGAGCAGGGGAGGATGACACAGGCAAACCCACACCAAGGAGATCCGCTGTAAAAGGGAAACCTGGCTCTTTCCATGACCATTGTAAAAGCATTCAAAGCCCAAACTACACCAACCTCTGAATAACACATTACCTGAGTCTTTAGACAGGGTAACTGCAGCTCCCATTGCTAGAACACATTGGGATAGCCCCTCTGTACATGATCCGGGGCCCAGCAGTATCCTGCTTCTTGGGGATCAGGTCAGAAAGCCAGTGTGTGGGGTGGATAGTGCCCTGTTTCTTTGACTGCACTTGAGCTGATTCCTCAACAACTTACCCTGGGGCCATACTTGCATGATCTAGGCCTGCCAGAACCAGGTGAAGGAAGAGTTGGCACAGAGAGCTGGGCTGCTGGGCGGCAGCTGGTGCAGCCAAGTTGGACACTGGGCAGGGTAGGTTTCCTGCAAGGCCCAGGCGCCAGAGTTTGGGGATAAAGTCAAAGTAGCCAGAACTGAAGCCCTCTTGTGAGTCTCGGAGGAATTTATTTGCACTTGTCCTGAGAGCAGCAGTGAGCTGTGGGAGGGGTGACGTTGCTGTTGGGAAGGAGATAAGTGAACCAGGCTCACAGCATCTGGGTGGCAGGTTGGGCGTGGGGACCTTGACTGTGCCCACTCCTCCTGATACCCTCTCCTGGTAGCGGGGGCACGCTTCCTTAATGATAGAAAGCTAAGGTCAGACTTCAGGAGTTTTCCCCTTATCTCTTGTTCTGTTTCCTATTTTAACCAGTTTGCAGTTTGAGGAATAAAAAAAGGGACCTTTGCTCATAACCCAGTGAGTGTCGTATGGTCACTCAGCCATTCCACGGGAGACAGCCTTGGGAGCTTCCTCGCAGCAGCAATCCAAGGAAGGGAAGTTGTTAGATGCTGGAAGCCAGGGAGTCATGCAAAGGAGCTGCAAGGAAGAGGGAGACCATGTTCCAGTGGGCCTGGGACGTCACCCATGGTCTAGAATTTTTTTCCTTTTCAAGTTTCGATACAATCAGAGCATACAGACAGGAGTCATTGAAGAGGGCCTGCCATTGTCAGGCACTGGAGCCTGTCATTCCTACAAACCGACTGTCTCCACATCACACAGTGGAACGTTACCTGCTTTGTCTCAGTCCTGTCGGGGTCCTTCCATCGCCACAGTGATGCCCCTTTCAGTGAAGGACCTGTCAGAATCCCCTTGCACCCAGTTGCCATGTCCCTTTAGTTTCCTTTAGTCTGGAAAGTTCTTCCTTCTTTAACTTCCATGAGGTTGCCCTCACCTTGCTCAGGCTGTAACCCCAGTGGGGTGCCCTCTCCACCCATCCCCACCGTTGGGCAGTGCCTGTTCTGCTCTGCCTCACCTGGTGACCAGAGGACTCAACTGGTCAGGAGGGGTGAGCAGAGGACCCTCAGGACAACTGCAGAATCACAGGTGGACTAGGAAGTCTAGTTGGTGTGGGGCACACATTGTCACAGAACAGCCTAACCCAAAGTCTGCCCCGTGCAGCTCTTGTCCTGCATGTGTTTAACTGATGTCCTGCCAAAAAAGGAACGAGTCTGAGCCCAAATGATTGGAAAAGGCTTTTCTCGCTTAGATCTCCGGCTTTGAAAGGAGTGCCTGCCGAGTACACTTGAAACTGCAACAGGAAGTGATGCCTGTGGCCCTCCAAAAAGTAGGTGTGGTGGGCAGCACTTCCTCAGCGTTTGCCTGTGTCCCCTCAGGGAACTTAGTGGTCTGTTAGCCATCACTGGAGACACTCATCTGGGCTAGGGTGAGCCACACAGAGCAGCTTGGGTGGGCTGTCCATGTGAGAAAACCTGTGGCTTCATCATAATGAGCAAACAGGGCCATGAAAAGGTGTTTGTCACTAATCACAAAGGAAGTGCAAACCAAAGCCACAGTGAACTGCCTCAGCCCTGGTAGAATGGCTGTTCACTAAAAGATGAAAGATACTGAGTGTTAGCAAGGCTGCAGAGAAAGGGGACCTTGTACACGGTTAGTGGGAAGGTAAATTAATTCAGCCATTATGGAAAACATATGGAGGCTCCTCAAGTTAAAACCACATCTGCCCACAACCCCACATCTGGGTAGGAATCCAGAGCAAACAAAATCAGTATCTCAGAGACATTGCAACGCCACTCACAACAGATGTGAAACAGTCTTATGTGGATATATACACAGAGGCATACTAGTCAGCCTTTAAAAAGGGGTCCTGTCATTTGCAACTGTGAATGAACTGAGAGGACATTGTGTTAAATAAGCCAGGCTTGGAACCACAAGTGTCACATGATCTCACTCATGTAGGATATAAAAACCTCGAGCTAAGAAGCAGAGGCTCGGGGATAGAGGAAATGGGAGGTGCGGATAGGTCCTGGAGAGCTGGTGTACCGTGTGGTGACTGCAGTCAATAGTGTACTGTGTCCTTGAAAACTGCTGAGAAAGTAGCTCCTGTGCTGTCACCGTGCACATATTTTCCTGCAGCTTGGACTTCTTATTAAGCTTTGCATGTGGCTGGGATGACAGGCAGGCATCATCATGCCCAGCCTTTTGTTGGTTGAGATGGGGTCTCATACTTTTCACCCAGGCTAGCCTTGAACCACAGTCTCCATCTACCAGGTAGCTAGGATTACAGGCATGAGCCACGGCACCTGGCTTGAAGGCTCGCTCAGTCTTACGACTTATGGGTCATCTTCAGCAAATGTAGGTGGAGAGAAATGAGAGGACACAGGAAGCCCCTGCCCCAGGCAGCTGCCCTTTTGCTCTCAGGACTGCTGGGTGGGCAGCAGGCCCAGTTCCTAGTGACTGACCTGCCCAAGCCAGCCTCTTCCAGCATATTCGTTTCCCCACAGTCCTGTCATCATGATCCTCCAGGTAGGACTGGTCAGGCCCATTGCGCTGATGGTCACGTCACCGAGAAGGTCACCTGAACTCCCAGAGCACCCTGGGAGTCCAAGGCCCACATTCCAGTCTGAGCTTGCCCTTGAACCTGGCTCTCCTCTTTTCTCTTGCCAGGTGAGCCTGGCCTCTGCTCTTGCTCTGTGGCTGGCTCTATGCCATCTCCTCTCTGGCTTCAGGAGGTAGCAAGGCATGGGGTCAGCTGTCCTAGGGCAGGGAAAAGACCTGTTGAAATTTGTGTCTAGTTGGGCATTTAGTGAGTGGTTCTGATGCATAGGAAGTCTTGAAAAAGTGGTCATGGGTATTGGGCTTTGAGTGAATTGACTTTTTGAGGGAGCTGGCTATGTGGCACAGGCAGGTGACTGGCTGCTCAGTTAGCCTGTTTTATGCTACCATAGCAAAATACCTGAGTCTGGGAAATTTTTAAAGAAAAGAGGTTTATTTTGACTGGTGGCTCTGGAGGCTGGGAGGTCCACGAGCATAGCAGTCTTTGAGGACTAGTGCCGTTTCTACTCACACAGGCAGTGGTGTGGAGGACAGGAGACAAAGGAGACTGGATGCTTTATAAGTAACCTGCTCTTGCAGTTAGTAACCCACTGTCCTGGGAACTCCCAGGACAGGTAGGTAAGGGACACCTGCTCCCTGACCAAAGCAAAAGAGGCCTGAGCCCCGACACGAGTGGGAAGGGCAGCTCCTTCCATGTGCTGGGGTGGGCACCAGGCCTGGCTGCTGGGGAGGACAGGGAGGAACACCAGTCATTCCCTGGGGTGTGTTGCAAGCAGGACCTTTGCACCCTGGTTGCTTCCCAAGCACAATGCAGGGCTCTTGCTTCAGGGAAGTAGCGTTTGGGAGGCTGCAGAAAGGGTGGGGGTCCAGCTCTGTGTGTACCCCATGATTTTCCTTTGGGGAGGGGTCTCCCTGTGGCCTCCTTCCCTCCTTCCTTCCCTTCTCCCAGCAGCAGCCCACAAGGCTGAGCACTTCTGAAGAAGACAGTTTGTGGGAAGGAGAATTTCAGAATGGTGGCCCACCCTGAGGGGTACGTGCTTGTGGCCAGCGCAGCCAGCAGATTGAATGCTGGACTGGAGGTGCCAGGCGCAGGTTCAATGGAGCAGGGATGAATCTCACGGTCAGGGGCACACTGAGCTCCTCTGTGCTGGAGGAGGGACCTGTCTCTGCCTCTGGTGTCACATGCCCTCCTATGGCTGAAACAGGCAGGGCAGGATGTTTTCTGCCTGGTGGTTGTTGGTTTTTTTGTTTTTTTTTTTGGTGGGTGGGACTGGAGTTTGAACTGAGGGCTTCATGTTTGCAAGGCAGGTGCTCTACCACTTGAGCCACACCTCTAATCCATTTTGCTCTGGTTATTTTGGAGATGGGTGTCACTCCAACTATTTGCCTGGACTGGCCTTGAACCACACTCTTCCCTGGAGGAGCTTTGATGCCAGTCATCAGTAGATCTGGGCCAGAGTTTACTAGGGTCTTACCTGTGCAGAGGTGACCCTGGCCTGCATTCCTGGGAGCTCAGGCTGCTTCCCAGAGAGGCAGCGAGGAGCCTGCCCGGGGAAGTAGTGGCATCGCCTGAGTTCCAGGGAAGATCTAGAAAGCATGGGTCTGATGGAGATTGCTGGGTGGTTCTGTGTGGTGCCATGGAGGGGGTCTCACAACCCCGTCAACCCTGTGTACCCAAGGCAGGGAACACTGGTTAACTAGGATGGAAGCTAGAGTTGTTTGGCCAGCCAGCTTCTATTTCTGTCCCATAGTGAGCAGACCCATGCTGTGTGTCACCCTGGAGTGGGGCACGGTGGCCCAGGACTGAGGCACACATGCCCACAGAGGGAGCCCAGCGTCCCCCCAGGCCGCACACTTGCTCAGGATGCCCAGAGCCCAGGGCTGGCCTGCTGTTGCTGTGTAGCCACCTTGCCACAAACGTGTTACTGTAAAGCCATTCACACTCCTAGTCTGCCCACTCTGTGGATCGGGAGAGCGGCTGCAGTAGGGCCAAATGCTGCAGCCAGGACAGCAGAGTCACGGTGTTATGATCTTGAAGCTGGCTCATCTGGAGTGAAACAACAGTTTGGAGCTTGTAGTCAGGGCACTGGGAGGGTCTCAGTTTCTCACTGTCATCAGCTCCTTGCCATTTGCTTCATCAGGTCTGCAAGGAAGAGAGACTCCTAGAAGGTAGATGTTTCTGTCTTATGTGATGTAATCAGGGATGTCACCCTGATATTTGTCATTTCAGAAATTATAAGCAAGTCACAGGTTCTGCACACTGGGGAATGAAGATCAGATAGCAAGGGTCCTGGGGCCTGCCACACCCTGCTCATCTCCCTTTTCACCTCCTGCTCTGCCCCCCTCACTTTGTGGGGCCTGTTGACCTGAGGCCAGCTTTAAGCTTCCCCGGGGCCCCCACGCTTACTGCTTTCACTTCGCTGGTGATTGCAAGTCCATGTCCCCTGCCACACTGTGAGCTGCTTGGGCTTGGGGACTGTAGCCCAGAGCCTAGCCTAGTGTCTTAAATGTTAGGGCTGAGGAAATCCCTGTGCAGTGAACAAGGTACCCACTAAAAAGGAGCTGGTGAGGCTCCCAGCAGCTAGAGGCAGCTTAAAGAACGAAGGGATCTTTCTCCAGAGCATAACTAGGGTCAAGTTCAGTAGGGCAGCACTGTGAACGGAGGGTGCTTTTTATTTCCCCCAGTCTGTTCTCCCAGTGGGGTGTGGGGAGTAAATGGTGCTCCCCTCCCCCCAGAAGATTGCTGTGAGGATCAGTCAGATAACAAGCAGTTTAGCCCAGAAATGCAGCCTCGGGGTTTTGTTTCTGACTGGTTTGGCTGGCTACTGTGGGCTCTGGAGCTGTGGCCTGTGCTCCACCCAAGGGTTTTTGGCCCTAAATCCATCAAGACCCTCTGAGCGCTGGTCTGCAGAGCCAACACACAGAGCATCTGCCAGGCTCAGGGGAAGCCAGCTGCATGGGACAGGGAGCCCATGGTAGAAAGGGGACGGTAAGCGCAGCCGTGTCAATTTGACTTATCTGTGTTATAAAATGCTTGTTACTAGATAAACTGTTGGAAGGGCCCCAAGAGGTGTGTTGGGGGGGAATAGGCCTGTTGGCCTGCTCTCTCTTCTTGCTCTGTGGGCAGGCCAGCATGAGTGCTCACAGGTCTGAGCTAGTGACTTAATGACTTGTTCCCAACAAAGCAAACAAGGTGGCAGTCAGCTGGCTGCATGTTTCTTCCCCTTGCCCTGACTCTGGCACCACTGGGCAAAAGGTTATTTCTAGTTGGTTGCCTTCCAGCTGTATCATGCTTGGACAGCAACTTGCTTTCAACCCTCCCCATTTCAAAAAACTTTAAATGAGACGCTGCACACAGCCATAGCAGCCCAGAGCAGGTCTGGTCAAATTGATGAAGGTGCCATCCAGCCATGCCCACCGTGGATGACATTCTGGAGCAGGTTGGGGAGTTTGGCTGGTTCCAGAAGCAAGCCTTTCTGGTCCTGTGCCTGATCTCAACTGTCTTAGCCCCCATCTACCTGGGCATCGTCTTTCTGGGTTTCACCCCCGACCACCGTTGCCAGAGCCCTGGGGTGGCCGAGCTGAGCCAGCGATGCGGTTGGAGCCTAGCAGAGGAGCTGAACTATACTGTGCCGGGCCTGGGGGCTGCGGATGAAGCCTTTCTCCGCCAGTGCATGCAGTACGAGGTGGACTGGAACCAGAGCACCCTCGACTGTGTGGACCCACTGGCCAGCCTGGCTGCCAACAGGAGTCACCTGCCTCTGGGGCCCTGTCAGCATGGCTGGGTGTATGACACGCCTGGCTCTTCCATCGTCACTGAGGTAAGAACAGGTTCTGCATTTTGGGTAATGTGGAGTCTTCAGAGCAAGGAGGAAATATACAGCTAACCCTATGTGGTTCAGAATCGTGTCAGGAAAGAAGGAGGGGTCCTACTTCTTGTACACTTGGCAGGTGACAGGCTCCTTCCTGGCCACTCTACATTCTTCTAGGTAGTAGAGGAGGAAGCTGAGCTCAGAGTCAGCACAAGCAGATGCATCTGGTTGTTTGAACAGGTGGGGAGTCTAGGGTTCCCTGCCAGCCCCCATGGGCTCTTCCCAGTCCTACAGACTTCACCTCGGGTCCTGATCCCCCTGGCTGCTGTTGTGAAGCCCCTGTCCTCCACTTGAGGGGTGACTACTGACCTCAATAGTGGCCATGAAGGTAGTGTGGGAATTGCGTTGGCTTTGGAATCTGGCTGTTAAGTTGACCCTAGCCATGCCCCTACTACCTGAGTGTCAGGGAAGAGGTAAGCCACTCAGCCTCTCTGAGCCTTCATTTCCCTTTGGTAAATGGGGTCATAACCTGTTGGAGACTCAGCTGAGAACCATGAAAACATTGAGCAAATAATACAGAGCTGTACCTCACAGTTCTGATTGTGCCCCATGGAGAAGTGTGATCGTGGACAAGGGGCCTTGCTTGCATTTTGCGTTGAGAATCTTTCAGTAAAAAGTGCCACTAGATTCTCCTCATTCGAGAACCTTTCTGACAACTGAACACACTTCGTCAAAAGTGGAGGGGTCCAAACAGGTTCAGAGGCCTGTGCTAGCAATAGCTTGGCTGTGGTCAGCTTACCTGGAACACAAGTCACCAGGTCCTCCGGCTCCTGCCCCCTCCCCCCGCCCCCACCACTGTCCACACCCTTCCATACACTCACCCAGCTTCTTGGACCACCTCCTCCTTCCTTTCTCCCCTTACCTTGGAGGTTGCAGCATCAACACATTCAGGGCTGTTCCTGGAGGAAAGCCCAGAATTCCCCCTGGTCCCCATCTGCTCAGCACTTGCCTGATCACCTGGAGTAGGGCAGGTACTAGACCACCTTGTTTTATGAGCTGTTGAAAGGACACTTGGTCTCTAGGCCACCCTCCAACGATGGACAAGTCAGATGACTTGCCTAACAGGGATACTCAAATCCGTGGGAATCCAGGAGCACATCAAGCTGAGAACGTATTTAGGACTGAAACACACTCTGCACAGAAAGGGTCCAAGGCAGTCAGTCACCCGCACACACTTCCGTCCACTTGTTAAGTAAACTCTGAGCTCTCCCCCGGGCCTGGCTCAGGCTGTAAGGTCGGCTCAAGGAGTGTGCAGTCTCGCAGAGAGTGAGACCAGCGTCCACTTAATGGGATCCCCAGGCCATGTGTGGTAAACGCCGTGAGTGGGCACGGAGAGGCTGGGCTCAAAGCTGCTGGTGAACTCATCACGCGCGTTTTTCAGGCAGGCTGTGGTTAAGCTGAGCCTGGGTGTATTTTGAGCAGCGAAGAGTGGGAGCAGTGGGGACAGGGAGTGAATCCAGGTCCAGGGGTCAGAATGAGCCACGGCTAAGGGGTTGTTAAATCGGTTTGAATTCAGAATTCTGTAGAGAAGTTATAGGGAGAAGGCTGGTGATCTCTCACTTTGAGACCAGAGCGTGGAATACTTGGAGTTGCCAGATCTAGTACAGGATAGCCAGCTAAATTTGAAATTTTTTTTTTTTGAGATGGGATCTTGCTTTGTTGCCTAGGTTGTTCTTAAGTTCCTAGGTTAAAGTGATTCTTATGCTCTGGCCTCTGAGTAGCTGGAACTACAGGTACACACTACTGTGCCTGACTGGATAATAAAAAATTTTAAGAGAATAATTATGTCACAGATATTGCATATTTTCTACTGATAACTGGGGTTGAAAATACAAATTTTGTATGGCTACTCCTTATACTAAAATTATTATTTATTTCAAATTCCAATTTAACTGGGCACTCTATTTTTATATGCTAAGCCTGGCACACCCACCTTCATGCCAGATGAAAGAGTTGGGTCTTATTTAGGTAGAGGAGCAGGACAATCCTAGTTAGGCCGGATGCATGACCTAGAAATAAGATGGCGGTGGAATTGGAGGCTTCCTAAGAGGTAGGGAGAAGCATGAAGAAGCCAAGCAAAGAGCCCAGGTGAGAGGTGTCAGTCACTGTACTTGACATGGGATTGAAAGGAAAGCATGGTGTAAGAGACATTGCTTGGGTTAAGGTCAGGGAGAGGGGCCCATTTTGGCAGAGGGTTCTGGCTTGGGAGAACTGGCTCAGAGCTACTCACACAGGTCTGGGGACCCAGAAGAAGTAGCAGTTTGGACAGGTGGAGAGGTGGTGACAACAGCAGCAGGAAGAGAGAGGAGGGGACAGATGTAAGAGGAAAGAGAGGGTTTTAGAAGGGTTTGATGGAGGGGGCTTCAGTGACCCCAAGAGCTTTGGGGAGGATTTTGAGTCCTGGAGCTGTTTGTTATTGACAAGGACAGTGAAGGGAGATGGCTTTAGGAAAAAGAGTTGCGCTGTGCTGGGCTGAGCACAAAGGGTGCCGGAGTTCATCTGCAGCTATTCAAATGTGACTAGAAGCCCGGGTAAGATAGGGTGGCAGCGCGATGGGAGTTGGCCCCTGGACAGGCATTATCTTTGCTTTAATCCACCGGCTCTCAAACTGTCATTGCCCCACTCCTTATCCTAAACTCGCTATTGGGGAATTAGCTTTAGTTATTTGTATCTGCAGAACTAATTTTTAACTTAGAATTACCTTGGACTTTGGAACCTCTTTAGGGAAGAACACCAAGTTTAGATCTCACCCCAAGGCTTCAGGATGGGGGTGCTGAGGCCTCCTGGGAAAGAATGGCTTTTCCTCCCAGAGTTTTCCATCTGCGCTATCATCCATGGCTTTGCCCACAGCCACCCCTCCTCTTAGCCGTGAGCAGCATTGAGCAAGAGGGCACAGTCTCAGACAGAGGTGAGGTGAGGTGGCTGCATCATGTTCCCCAAACTCGCCTGGTCCTGGGGTCACCTGCAGTCCCACTGGTGACCTATTGAGGCAGAATCCGCAGAGAACAGGCATTTTAACAAGGACCGGGGTGATTCTTGTGATGGGAGAGCATTGTCCTGCTGTTTTATATACTAGGCTGGAAAAAGTCGCCCAGCTCTGGCAAAAGCCCAGAGGGAACAGCTGATGGGCTTTGGGGACCCTGCCCCTCCCAGCTCATCAGCCAAGGCCGCAGTGTTTGACCTACTGACCACCTAAAGACTGGGGGGGGGTTTGGATAATCAAGCCTTTTTTTTCCAACTAAAATGGTTCATTACTTAGTAAAGTTACCTTAGATGCTCAAGCATCCCTGAAGTGTGACAGGACAGATACAATATGGATGTCTCAGTCTGGGAAACTGAGACCCAAAGTAGCCAAGTGACTTGTTGCCATTGCTCTCGACGATGCCATTTTGGGTGAGTGGAGCCCAAGATCCAGAGCACACAGAGCAGAGTGGGGACTTGGAGAGGGACAGTGGCCAGGAAAGGCTGTGCCAGCATGGGGAGGGGCTCAGCCCTGCTCACCCTGCCATCTTCGGTCTCTCTGGAGTCTGTCCTCCAGTCTGCCTCCCTTAGCTCTAATGAGAAAGTGTCACGCTGTACCCAGGCCTCGAGTCATGCCAGGGCATGTGCCGTGTCACCTATACTTTGGGCCAGGGAAGGCTCCTCCCCCTGCTTTTCTTCCTCCAGGCCTCCGAATGGGCGAGCATCTTGGCTCTTGGCATGTGGTACCTTGAGCTCCTCCCACCTCTCAGATGCCACCACATGTTGCTAGAGCATTGGCCACTCCAGGACACCCCTGCTGTCACCTCTGTTTCTAGCTCCTCTTCTTGGGTGACCACACATAGTTCCACCAGTCATGACTGAATTACTGGTGGCGTTCATTTAATTAAATACCTAACAAGTAATATGTAACAAATGAAGGATTTTGACCAACTCTGGAAAACACGTTCTGGGGCTTCTTTTATGAGCACTTTGGAAAAACACCTGGTCACATTTCTTCAGAGAGAGCTGGCTGGAGCCATGACTCTTTTGAGAACGTTAATCTGTCCTTCTGCCCTTTGCCAAAGACGTTTTGTCCCATGACAGCCAGCTGTCGATGGCAGTGTTAAAGAGCTGCTTTAGTTAACAGTTGATGACAGTGACACAAAGGGGTGAGGAATATGGTGGATTCACCAAACCCTCAGAGACCTTGAATCTGTCTTAGAAAAGTGTGATGGGCACAAGCTTTGAATCGGCCTGGGGAGACTGAGTTGTGTAGAAGACACGCAGTTTGTCTGGAGGGAGATGGATGTGGGGTCCTGGTTCTGTCACATGGTTCTGTGTTCTGTCCCCCCAACGTGACATGGCTGGCAGTTTAACCTGGTGTGTGCGGACGCCTGGAAGGTGGACCTCTTTCAGTCCTGTGTTAACTTGGGCTTCTTCCTTGGATCTCTGGGCATTGGCTACATCGCTGACAGGTGAGTGAGGGCCAGGGTCAAAACTACCTTGGATGCCATGAGGAGAGTGCGTTCTGGGGGCCAGGGTGGAGCATGTGGCTAGGGGACTCACTAGAAGGCAGTGAGATATGACATTGGAGAGGGTACTTGGGCCTGCTGTGCGGTTGCCAAGGAGAGAGCTGGGGAGAGGTGGTGTGGAAATGCAGACCACACCGTGGGACAGGGATGAGAGGAAGGGGACAAAGCCACAGTCACATCTTGGGCAAGTCTGTGGCAGTGGGTTCATTTTGTGGTGGGATGGGGAGGGTTGGGCCTTGAGTTCAAAGTTTGGAGATGTGTTAGAGTGACTCTGAGATACACGAGAGGGGGGTCCAGCAGGCAGGTGAGTGTGTCATGTCTGTGACTGGCCCTATTCTCAGGTGCCTCTGCCACCATCTCTCTGTCCCTGCAGGTTCGGCCGCAAGCTGTGTCTGCTGGCGACCTCCCTGGTCTCTGCCGTGTCCGGCGTGCTGACGGCTGTGGCCCCAGACTACACATCCATGTTGCTCTTCCGCTTGCTGCAGGGGCTGGTCAGCAAGGGTAGCTGGATGGCCGGCTACACCCTGAGTAATTGCACGCAGGATCCACGCTTCCCAGGGCCAAGGAGGGTGGGGGGGGGAGAGAGAGAGAGACAGAGAGAGAGAGGGAGGGAGGGAGAGAGAAAGGGAAGGAAAGAAGGAAGGAAGAAAGGAGGAAGGAAGGAAGGAAGGAAGGAAGGAGGGAGGGAAGGAGGGAGGGAGGGAGGGAGGAAGGGAGGAAGGAAGGAAGGAAGGAAGGAAGGAAGGAAGGACCGACCTACCTTCTGGTTGTGTCTGATGAACATGGTGTCCTCTCTCTTGGCTTTCTGGGAATAGCCAGTGAGGACCGGAAGAAGCCATGTTCCTACCTTGAGAATCCATGAGTCCACTGGTTAGGTTTAGTTCATTCAGGATATGCTCCTCAGGCCGACGCTGAACATGGACAGCTTGACCCAAGGTTAAGAGAAGAAAACTGGGGTCAAATCCACGTACCAGCATTGGGCAGCTGTGTGATCTTGAGCGAGTTGCAGACCCTCTCTGTGCCTCAGCAGGCAGCTTGGAATGGGAATGCCGATAGGAATGCCGGGAGTTGCTGTGAGGAAAGAGACACTGCACAGGGTCTAGGGGAGGCTCAGAGCAATGCCCGCCATGTGCCCATCTCTGTGATGCGTTGTTGTACGGCATAGCGTGAGCTGTGGTAGAAGCTGGGTGATACTAGAAGCACCAAGATACATCAGACATCCTTCCTACCTCCTAGGGGCTTGAAGGCTAGACAGGGACAAGGGACAGATAAGGATCCTGAGAGGACGTGCATTCTCCAACGGGCTTCTGCTTAGCTTCAGGACGCCATCCCTCTTCTTCTGCTCACTGGTGGCTTCTTCACAGTCCTTTCTCTTTGCTCCTCCTTACTGCAGCAGGACCCAGGACCCAGGACCCAGGACCCAGGAGGTCATCCTGTCCCTCCTGAGCTTCCCCAGTCACACACAGGGCTCTCCTGTCAGCTCCTCAGGCCAGGCGTCTTACAGGAAGGCCACCTCCGCCTTCTCCCTTGCACTCGTCTCTGGGCCATCAGTGACTCTCATTGCTGGCTTTATTCTCCAAATGTGCACACAAAACCCCGCCCATTTCATGACCCAGGCTGGTCCAAGCCACCATCCTCGATTTGTTCCCAAATGGACCTCAAGTCTCAAGGGAACAGCAAAGGGAGCCTTTGAAAACAAGGTGGCTGTGGCACTCTGCTGCCCACAGTGGCTCTGCGGCTCACACAGTGACAGGTGACATTTTCGTGTCTTGTATGTTCCCACAGGATTGCCTGCCCTGTGAACTCAGTCTCCTGCCTGTGCACTTGTCCCCCCAGCCACACAGTCCCCACCAGACCTCAGGTTTCTGCTGTCTGGACCGACCGGCTTCCCCAGCCATCTGCGAGCCTAGCCCTCCCCTCCCCTGTGTCTTTGCTCTAAGTCTGTCCACCCGGCCCACTAGGCCCAAATTGTGACCCTCCATGCTTGACACTCTCCATCTCTCTTCCTTCTTTTGCTGCCAGCACGTATCACATTCTGTGATTTACATATGATTACATATAATTTCATATCTGTTATGGGAGCTGCCTGCTATCTTTCCGGGAATCTGAGGCCTTTGGTGCCTCCCACACAGCGTGTAGGCCCAGGTAGGCCTGGATCTAAGAGATTTTCCAGACTGAAACTTCTGGAAGGAAGGTCTGGGGAGGAGAGGCTGCACCCTGAAGTGTGACAAGGGGGACCATAGATGGCAGGCAAGGGGGCAGAGGAAGGGGGTGGTAAGAAAAATAGGCAACAAAACAACCTGGTGAGTCTGGGGCCTAGGCCGACTGGCACCAAGATATAGAGGAGCCAGACGCCAGCAGGCTGTGGTTTGGGGGAAGGAGATATGGCGGACACACAGAGAGAAACTGGGGAGCAGGTTGAGTGAGGTAGGGCTGGTGAGGAGAAGAAGAGGGGACAGGGATGTGCTTCTCCCTAGCCCTTGCTCCTCCTGCATTGTGACCATGTGTCTGTTTCAGTCACAGAGTTCGTGGGCTCGGGCTACAGAAGAACGGTAGCAATCCTGTACCAGGTGGCCTTCACGGTGGGGCTGGTGGTACTCGTTGGGGTGGCCTATGCCATTCCACACTGGCGTTGGCTCCAGCTGGCTGTATCCCTGCCCATCTTCCTCTTCCCGCTCTACTACTGGTAATGTCCCCTGCAGTGCCCCAGTGACAGGTGGCTCTGTGGAGCCTCCCTGGTCTGTGCCCCGTCCTCTCACGGGCCTACGACACTCAGTGGTACAAGGGCTGTGTACTGACCTCTGCTGCCCCAAGGGCCACCTTCCAAGGGGCCATGGTGTCACATGCATGACGAGGTGCAGAGCTGTGCCCAAGGCCTGATGCTGACACGTGTGTGTATTTTCCCAAGGGGACAGGGGCTGCCAGCTTCCAGGAGAGTTGGGATGCTGCTCCATGGGTCCCTGTGCTCTGTGAATCTTAGCAGGTGCATGAGTCACCCACAGAGCTCATGCCTGGGCCACCTGACCCAGCACTCAGGGACCCCTGCCCTGGCCCATTAGCAGTCTGAGAAGTCCTGTCCCATGTGAGGAAAGCAGGCTGCCCTGAGCCACCCCACCGCTACTGTCATGGTTTAAAGTCAGGTGTGTGCTGGGGAAGCGCCATGTGGTGATGGACCACATCTGCAGGTGTGTACCTGAGTCTCCCCGATGGCTCTTGTCACAGAAGAGGAACATTCAGGCAATAAAGATAATGGACCACATTGCCCAGAAGAATGGGAAGGTGCCTCCTGCTGATTTAAAGGTGACAGACCAGGGAGGGGTTTCTCACACCAGGGACTTGGGGTTTGTCCCATGCATGCAGCCCAGGTGACAATGTGACTTCCTCCCAGATGCTCTCTATTGAGGAGGATGTCATGGAAAAGCTGACCCCTTCCTTGGTAGACCTGTTCCGCACCAGGAAGCTGAGAAAGCACACCTGCATCTTGATGTACCTGTGGTGAGCTGCCTCCTACGTTCACCTGAGGCTGAGCTGTGTGCTGCCCAAACATGGCATGGCCGGGGCAGGGCGGGGGATTCATCCAGGGATGCTTCAGATGGAGAAAGAAGAGGAAGAAGAGGAATTTTAGTATAATTGTTGGGTCAAATTGCTTTTTTCTAAGGGGTGACATTGGAATTTGAACTCAGGGCCTCATGCTTGCTAGGCAGGCACTTTACCACTTGAGCCACTCCCCCCAGCCTTTTTTTTTTGCTTTAGTTATTTTCAAATAGGGTCTTGCGTTTTTTTTGCCTAGGTTGGTCTCAGACTGTGATCTTCCTATCTACACTTCCTGCATAGCTGGGATCACAGGCGTGCCCCCACTATACCTGGTTTATCTGTTGAGATGGGGTCTTGCTAACTTTTTTGCCCAGATTGGCCTCAAATCATATCATTCCATCTCTACCTCCTGGCCTTTGACACGGACTCTCTTGGCTCAGGTTTGCCTGTGCTGTGCTCTACCAGGGCCTTGTCTTGCAATTGGGGGCCACTGCCGGGAACCTCTACCTGGATTTTTTCTACTCGGCCCTGGTTGAATTCCCTGCAGCCTTCCTCATCCTGCTCACCATTGACCGTGTCGGCCGCATCTACCCGATGGCCGTGTCAAATATGGTGGCCGGGGGCAGCCTGCCTCGTCATGGTTTTTGTCTCGAGTGGTAAGTTGTCTGTTTTTATCATTTCCCAGGGAACTGGACTGTGGGAATAGGGCTGACATTCCCCGATAAGCTTCTGGAACAAGAGCAAAAGCAGGTGTCACCCTCATCTGCACTCAAACACTTTGAAACTGAGGTGCAGCAGGCCTACGATGAGCCAAACACCAGTGTGTGACTTAATGAATTTCCACAAGTGTGGACCCCCAGGTGGCACAGTTGGAGAGCAATCACAGCCCCCAGAGCCCTCCCTCCTCAGCCTCCTGCCAGCCTCCTGCCACCTCTGTCCCCACAGCTCAGCTCCGAGGTCCTGAACTGCACATGAATGGAGCCACGCTGAATGGACTTTTTCTTTTGCCTCCTTTCCTTACAACGGTGGGGTTCCCCCACCTTGTCACATGACAGGGTAGCTTGTACTTTGTATTATTTTATTTTAATTAATTTATTTATTTTGGCAGTACAGGGACTTGAACCCAGGCCCTCCCATTTGCTAGGCAGGTGCTTTGTCACTTGAGCCATGCCCCCAGCCCTTTTGGTTTTAGTTATTTTTGGGGTAAGGGCTCATGTTTTTCCCTTGGGGCAGGCCTGGGACTGTGATCCTCCTGTCTGTGCCTCCCATGTGGCTGGGATTACAGAAGTGTACAATGCCCAGATTATTAATTGAGATGGGTCTATATAACTTTTTGCCCAGTGTGGCCTCAAACCACAATCCTCCTGATCTTCGCCTTCCTGACTAGCTGGGATTACAGGTGTGTACCACTGATGCTAGATCTCTGCCAGGTGAGCACTGCATGACCTCTGCCCTCCCTGGGTTAACACCCTCCCTAGGGCCCCTTCCTGCTTCTCATCTCCATATGCCCTGCCTATCTCAGGTCTATGTTAGTCCTCATCTCCCAGTGTAGGGGTATTTCAAGGTCTCCCAGGTAGCCAGGCTGCCTGTGGGTCCTCAGGTCTCAGCAGAGAGTGTTCCTGCCCATGGAACTGGCATCCAGGGGTGAGAAGAGAAGGATAAAGAAAGACGGGTGTTAATTCTTTCTGCCGGGCTCAGGGGAGGCCTGGCAGCCTGAAGCGTCTAGGAATGGGCCCTGCAAGCTGCAGAGCTCGGCCTGGGAGTGCAACTCCGAATGGAATCCATCAGCCTAGCAGCAGGTAGCCAGGGAATCAGCAGCCAGGACAGCAGTACTGGACAACAACGCCAGCCTGGCAGGAAGGTGCTGGTGCCTAGGGGGCCCACTGCACTTCGGTGTAAATGGGGCCTCAGGCTGCCTCAACCAAAGGGGCAGAGTGGAGATCCTCAAGGACAGGGATGCTGTGCCATCCAAGAGAGCACCCCCAGACTCCACGGGGCACCTCTCTCCTTGGGATGCAACTCAAGTCTTCCCTACTCACCAGTGGTTACTAAGGAGCTGTGTTCCTTCCAGTGATCCTTCTGTGGTTACCCCCAGGGGGCAGAGGGCTCCTGGACATCAGGGCACGTGACCCCCGGTGGCCCGCTGGGCCTTGCTTCCCCAGCTCAGGAGAAGGTGCTTTGGTGGAGATAAACATTAGGTTAGGTTTAGCTGGGAGCTGCTGCAGAAGGAGCCACTTTTACCTCAGGACTCCTCTGCCGCTGGCACTGTGCTGTCACCTGTGGTTGTGTGGTGACTAAAGAACCATCTTCACATTCTGCAGTCATGGTGGGTATTGCACACCATTGCCACTAATTCTCACAGCAACCTGGAAGCTCAATGTGAGCTTTTCCCATTTTACACTCAGCACACCAAGGCACAAAGAAGCCCACAGTGTGTTCTCGTCAGCACAGCTGGCGGAGCAGAGGGGGATTCAAACAGATAGGACTCAGTTTACCTATCCAAAACTGAAAGTGTGGGAGAGGACGACCCTTAGGTCCTTCTGCTGTAACAGTCCAAGCACAGCCCACCCGTGGCTTCACGCTGTCACTCAGGGAGCAGGCCCACTCGCTCGCTCACTGTCCCTGGTCTTCTTTCTCTCCAGAGCTGCACTGGCTGAATGTCTTACTCGGCTGCATTGGCCGCATGGGAACCACCGTCGTGTTTCAAATGATCTGCCTGGTGAATGCTGAGCTGTACCCCACATTCATCAGGTGAGGACACAAAAGGAGGGGTGACATTGCAATAGCCACGGCTATACTTCCTCAGGACGTCCCCAAGGTGGTCGGTGTGGATGCTGAGTGCTGGGGTTAAGAACTTGTGCTCAGAGGTGGGATTGGGCAGCAGAAAGAAGGGTCCTCTAATGGTGGCAGAGAATGTGAAATGAGATCCTTTGAGTAGACTGAAGGGGGCAGGTGTGTGTACCAAGGGCAAGGACCAAAGCAAAGTCTCTAGTATAGGACTGGCTCAGCCCTATAACCCCAGCTACTCAGGAGGCAGAGATTGGGAGGATTACAGTTTGAGGCCAGCCTGGGCAAAAAAGTTAGTGAGATCCCATCTCAAAAAACAAACCAGATGTAGTGTACATGTCTATGGTCCCAGTTATGCGGGAGGGTGAGCATAGGTAGAAAGATTGTTGTTTGAGGCCAGCACTGGGCAAAAATGTGAAACCTTTCTAAAAAATTAACCTAGAGCAAAAAAGGGCTGGAGTGGCTCAAGTGGTGGAGTTCCTGCCTACCAAGTGCAAGACCCTGAGTTCAAACCCCAGAACCACAAAACCAAACAAATGAACAAACAAAACCAGAGCCTCTGGTGGAGAGGGCGTGCTGGGCTGGGAGCAGGAGGCCCGAGGTTTAACCTGTGCCTCTCACTCACACCAACTGCCCGTGTAGACGCTGCAGCTCTGTTGAGCCCTTGGCCATCATTTTCTTTAAAGCGACCTTTCTCTGACTGATTATCCCCACTTGCCGTATGAGGAAGCTGAGGTTGAGAAAGGAAAAGAGACCTCCCAGGGTCATACAGCAGGAGAGACAGGAGGCCAGGGCAAGAATTGTAGCCCCCTGACCCAAATCTTGTCCCTTTTCCATTGCAAACAGCACATCACTGCTCTGTAATCCAAAGAGCAGCTTGAAAAATTGAGTTAAAATATGCGTAACCCAAAAGTTACCCTCTTAAACCTTAAAGTGTGTGCGTGTTCGTAGCGTTGGGGACACGCACATGGTGGGAGCAGTCTCCAGAACCCTTCCATCTTACAAACGGACTTCTGCACCCACTAAACCCCCATGACATCAACGCCTCTAAGAACTTCACGTAAGGTTGGCTTTCTGCGACTGGCTCATTTGACCTAGTGAATGTCCCCGGGGTTCATCCATGCTGGAGCACATGACAGCATTCCTTCCCTTTTTAAGGGTGGATAATATTCCCTGTGTGCACGTGGCCTGTATTGCCATTGGGCGCTCGGGTTGCTTCTGCCTTCTGGCTGCTGGGAATTACGCAGCCGTGAGCATCTCGCTCTCAGGACCTCTGCTGTCCATTCTTTTGGATCCATATGAGAAGTGGAATTCCTGGGTCATGTGGTGATCCCGTTTTTGATGCACTGCCATACCGTTTTCCATGGTAACGGCACCATTTTACATTCCCACCAACCACACACAGGCGCTTCAACTTCTCCAGGTCCTCGACAACACTTGTCATTTCCTTTCTTTTCTTGTGGCCCTCCCCCCTCATGAGCGCAAGGGGCCTGTCCTGGTGACTGTGGTTTCTCTAATAGCTCTCGTGTGCCTGTGGGCCACCTGGGGCCCCCTTTTTCTGGTGAAGAGCTGTCCCGCCACACAGCTGGCCTATGTGCTCTGGGTCTCAGTTCCTCATCAGATTCCCAGCTCACATCCTGTCTGTCGCCTTTTCACTCTGTTGTGTCCTTGAGCCACAGAAGGTTTTCACTTTGAGTTCTGCCCCTCTTTTTGACTTCGGTTGCCTATGCTTTGGTGCTGAAGAATTTATTATCTTTTTTTTGTGTGGAACTGAGGGTCAGGCTCAGGCCCTGTGCATAACAGACAGGCGCTGTATCACTTGAGTCCTGCCCCAGCTGAGGAACTCCTTATTTAAAGTCAGGCATACACTAACTTTTCCTAAAATACAGTTGGATGCGTTTTGGTGGTGTGTGTAGTTAATCATGTAGCCATTGCCACAACCAAAATAAAATATTTCTATTGCCTCCCAAAGTTTTTTCCATATCTCTTTGCAATAAATCCTTTCTCTCTTTACACCTGTCCCTGGCAATTGCTAGTCTCAATTCTGTTCTTCCTTTCCAGACCGTTATGCCGATTGAGTACTGTGACATGCAGCCTTCTTTCCTTGGCGTGATGGGATTCATTGCTGTATTGCATTTGTCTGTATTTTGTTCCTTTTGATTACTGCATAGTATTCCATTGCCTGGATGTCCCTAATCTGTCTGTCCACTCGCTATTTGAGCACTGGACTGTTTCCAGCTCAGGGTGACTGTGATCAGCTGCTGCAAGCTTTGCTATGCAGTGTTTTCAGTCAGTTGGGATTTCTGGATAGTATCTTTCTATGACTGTTTTCCCAAGTGGTGGCACCATTTCGAATCCTTCCGGTCATGTGTGAGAGGTCCTGTTGCTCCATGTCCTCATCGGTGTCTGGTGTGGTCAGGGCCTCACGCTTGCTAGGCAGGCACTCTACCACTCGAGCCATGCATGGCTAGAATTACAGGCTTCTGCCACCATGCCCAGCTTATTCATCAAGATGGGGCCTTGCTAACTTTTCGAAAACTATGATCCTCCCCATCTCCACCTCTTGAGTGGCTGGCATGTAAGCTGACATGCCAGGCCATGTTGAAAATCTTTCCTGTGCTCTTTGCTGTCAGTAGCTTAGAAGACTTAGGTTTTTTGTGGGAGGGTAGGACAGGAGTTTGAACTCAGGACATCTTGCTTGCTAGGCAGGCACTCTACTGCTTGCGCCATGCCTCCAGTCCTTTTCGCTGTGGTTACTGTAGATTTTATATTTGGTTTGGTTTTGTTTTTCTTGTGGTACTGGGGTTTGAACTCACGGCTTCTTGCTTGCTAGCCAGGCACTCTACCACGTGGGCCATGCCTCCAGCCAGAGAAGACTTAGTTATAAATGACCGTTATTTTAATTGTGAAAATAACCACTTTATTTGCAATTTAAAAAATTGCCTTTAGCTTAACTTGATCTCTGTTAGAGTTTGGTTTGCTGCCTGGGACTCCTTTTCTTTTGTCTAATGACCTCTTCTCCCTCCACTGTCTACCTCTGGTTTCTAAATCTTCCACCTCCCTAGTCCCTCTGAGCTCTTCAGCAGGTCCAGAGACAAACTGATGGCCGATCCACCCTCTCCTTTCTCCTGCCGGTGACTTTAGTGAGATGCCGTGTCTTAGACTCTCACTTGGACTTTTTACAAGGAGGTGAAGGCAAATGAAAGAGAAAACCTTCTATGTTGGCAGTTCTGAGCCCAGAGTCTAAAATAGCTGGGACAAACAGTTTTATTGTCATAGCCACCAGACCCAGGGGACTGACTCACAGTGTACACTGTCAAAGACTGTGTCGGCCAGCTTTGCATTGCTCTAGTGAAATACCAGAAATAATCAGTTTAATAAGGGAAAAGGTTTATTTTGGCTCACGGTTGCTTGGACCCACTGTGTTGAACCCGTCACAGCCCAGTACGTCATGGCAGGAACGTGTGGCACAGGAGGCCTGCCCGCTTCATGGTGGCCAGGAAGTAAAAACAGAGGGAGAGAGGAAGGACTGGGGTCCCAACACCCCCTTTAAGAGTGTGCTCCTATAACCTAGCTTCTTCTCACTAGGCCCTACCTCCTAAAGTTCCACCACCTCCCAATAGCACCAGGGGCTGAGACTAACCCTTTACCACACAGGCTTTTGGAGGATACTCACCAAACCCTAGCAGGTGCCGATTACCTGGTGTTCTATGGGGAAAGGCCAAGGAAGCCATCCCTGAGGGGTGATTGGCCGCCACTGTGCAGAGCAGGGATGGTGAGATTCTCAGCAGCTGGGAGGGGAGCTGGATGTTCAGGAGCAACTGTAAATGTGACACGGACATATGCACACACGCGTACACACATGCACACACAAATGCACACACATGGGTTAGAATCGAGGTTTAAAGCAGGGAGCACACATGCTTGTTGTCACCACCAGGCTTCCAGCAATTCGGGAATTACCACTGTGGGTTACGTGCCTTCAAAAGGCAGGCGTGTTCCTTGGCTGCACAGATGTTGGATGGCTCTTGCCTCTTCCCACTCCAGCCCGATCCCTCCCTCACTCCCATGTGGCCGAGTCCACATGGCTCCTCCTGGTCCCCACAGTTTGCTGACTAATGGGGTGTTGAGCACTGCAGGCCCCGGCTCACCACAGGTGCTGGTGTCATGCCTGCTCAGGACGATGGAATCATGGAAGGTAACCCTTTGGCTCTGTCTTTCACCAGGAACCTTGGAGTGATGGTGTGCTCTGCCCTGTGTGACCTGGGTGGAATCTTCACCCCCTTCCTGGTCTTCAGGCTGATGGAGGTCTGGGAGGCCCTGCCTCTGGTTCTGTTTGGTAAGGTTCTGTGAGCATTAGCTGCACCTTCTTTCCAGCCTGGCTCTGGCCATAGTGTGAGCACCCAACAGCTATTTGCTGAGTGAATGTCAAGAACGCAGCGAGCTCTTGAGAGGCCTCCTGGCTCATTCCGCCTTGTGTCTTGGGAAAGATCAGAGCCACCACCATCACAGGAAGTGAAGCAGCCAGAGATTTTTTTTCCTATGGCTCCAGATCCAATAATTCATCCTACGGGGATGAGTCCAGTATCCAATAGACCTTTTTAACACTCTCCTGCTTTCTCCTGTGTTCAATTTCTTTTTCTTTTTTCTTTGTTTTCTTTTGGGGGGTGTTGAGAGGGTTGTATTAGGTAGCCCGGGCAGGCCTCAAACTTGTGATCTTCCTGCCTCAGCCTCCCAAGTGCTGGGATTACAGGTGAGCACCATGTCTGTCTCATCTATTCAAATTTCTAATTCTTGTACATTAAGTGTGTAACTGGTGGAGGTCTGATGGTACTAAATTATCACCCCTCTTCTACTTCTGGATCTTAAACTTTTAGAACAGACACAGGAGACAAATAGGAATCCAGTAAACTTCCATTAGTCCATGCCCCAAAACTAGGGCATGGAACCTCCAAGACATACTTCCCCACTTGATTGAAGGCAAAATGGCTGGGCATTTGCAGAGAATTACCATGCTGGGCACAGTGGAAAGGAGGGGAGGAAGGAAGGAAGGAAGGAGGAGAGAGTAGAGTGAAAAAGAGAGAAGGGAGGAGAAGAGTATTAAGAGAGGCATTCACTGGCTGTAGTTATGTAGGTTATGCTCAGGTTATGTTCTGTATCTGTCTGTCTGTCTTTCCACCTATCTATCATCTATCTATCTATGTACCTGGCTACCTACCTGTCATCCATCTGTTCATCTCTGTTATCCATCATCTATCTGTCCATCAATCCATCCATCTGTCCATCCATCCACCCACTCATCCATCTAAAGTTGAGTTGCATATCATTTTGCAGTACCTGACTCAACACATTCCTCCCACTCACACATTGTAGACAGTTGTACAGACAGTGATGTTTCCTTTTCCTTCTCTACCATTTCCCCAGTTGCCTATTGCTTTTCTTTCCTCTCCTGAATGTTCCTAGCAACTGATTTCCAATAGGCAATGCCTGTTCCCGCTGTGCTGTCTCTGGTTCCTGTGGGCATTTTTCTAGGTCCTATCTGCCATGCTCTAATCCTCCCACTTGAAATCTGTTTCATTGGAAGGTGTGTTGGGCCTGACTGCTGGGGGAATGACATTGCTGCTTCCTGAGACCAAGGGGATGGCTTTGCCTGAGACCATTGAAGATGCTGAGAACCTCTGGAGGTGAGACTCTGTGATGCTGGGGATGAGGGGGACATGGGAGCCCCACTCTCTGAATAGAGTCACAGTGTCACCCCGCAATCTCATTGCTCTAGGTTCCAGGGTTTGGAGAGCTTCACAGATGTTTGTGTGATTGGTATCACTTCCAGAGCTGCTAGAAAGGGACACACAGCTCAGTAGCCACTGGCCAAATGCAAAGGAAGAGACAGAGAACAGACAGAGAGAGAGAGAGAGAGAGAGAGAGAGAGAGAGAGAGAGAGAGAGAGAGGAGAGAGATGCAAAGGGCACTGCAGAGAACCACTAGCACTTGTCAGTGACATGAGCTATTGGGTACCAGTCCCTGTTCACCCTGACAGTAGAACTCTGCCTTGGGAGCATTTCAAAATCAGTCTTCTGTTCTTAGGTTCAGATTCTTTAGTGACTTTCTTCACAAAGAAGAATGTCTTAAAATCTTCACTCTCATCACAGAGAGTGGCTTCAGTGGAGTTTCTGATTCTACTTTTCAGGTCAAAAAGGAAGGAATAAAAAAGTACCATATGGGCTTGTAGGCCCCATCCCTTTCTAGGCTCAGTTCTAGGGTTTCCACAGCAAGGATACAGGTGTTCCCGTGAAGCTGAGAGAATAGTCCTGGAAGTTCTAAGGACTTGGTTTAAATCCAGCATGACCACTTGACTTTGGACATGCCATGGAGCCCTTCAGAGCCTTGGTTTCCTTGCCTGCAAAATAGCCACGATGTTGCTTAAAGACCCAGTGAGCTGAAATGGATGAGTGTGACTAACCCATCTCCCAGCACATAGCAAGTGTTCAATAAAGCTCACATTTTCTCCATTCTTCTTTTAAATTGTGATGTTTCTCAGTGGTTCTCAAAACTTATGGTGCAGAAGAATCACAAAGGGAACTTACAAAATTGAAGGTTCCTTGATTTTCATATTAGAAAATCAGGAATTGGCTTGAATAAGCTCTGCCAGTGATGCCCACCTGGGCAGGTGTCCTGTAAATCTCATTTTGAGAAATTCTAAGTTTCTCAGCTCATTTAGAGACCATCACTCTATTTTAACTATACACACTTTTTCTAGTTGATGAATTCCTTCCTTTTGGTTCAAAGTGGTAGTGAGGCAGGTTAGGTTAGGGATACACTGGGACTACTCCACCTCTTGACTCAAGAGCTCCTCCCCCTAGCCCACAGGTCAGAGGAGCCAGGTGATGACATATTTTCTCCCTACCTCCAAGTTCAAGGTATATAAAGATGACTGATCAAAAGACCCTGGCCTTTTTCTTCTTTTCCCTCACCTGGCAAAATTGGTGGTTCCCCTTCCATTCATAAAGATCATCCCATACACGTATTCTGTTTGGATTCTTCCACGACAGAACACAAGGACCAAGATCTTCTGGAAACACCATTTGCTGATAACATCAGAGTCTAGGGCCCAGTGGTCTCTGTTGCCACTACTCAGTTCTGCTCCTGAAGCAGAAAGTAGCCTAGGCAATACCTACACGTATAGGTATGTTTGGGCTCCAGTAAAATTTCATTTAGGGACAGTGGTATTTGTCTTTCATTTCATTTTTCAGGTGTCCAAAAATATTTTCATTTTGATTTTTTTCACCTATTTTAAAATAGGATAAGAAATTCTTAGTTCTCAGTCCACCTAAAAGCAGGCCATAAGTCAGGTGTACCACCCTCTATTTTTCCTTGTTGCTTATGATCCTTGCTGTCTTTATGTTTTGAGACATTCCCACATATAACTTCACAAGTTTCTTAAGATTTTTTTTATTAACTCTGCTTTTAACTTTTATCCCTGGTTGTGACAGAAAAGCAAAGACCAACAAGAACGAGACTTACCATCAGGTGCAAACATCCCAACACACAGCCAGCTGAGCAGGGTGCTGTGCTGGGAGCTGAGCAATGCAGATGAAGAGAGAAGCCGTCACTTTCCTGTATTCTTCCTCACACTTGCCTCCCCAAAATTAATATCCATCCTGAAGAATTGTCTGAGTGGGCTTGGCTTATTTCTTTCCAATCCTACCAGGTGTTGCTGGTGGATGGTCTCTGAAGACCCAGGTCAAAAGATTTTTAGGCACTTGTGTCGCAAGAGAAAAATTCAGGTAGGACTTGAAAATGTAGTGAAAGCAATAGCAAAGTTTTTTGAAGGGGATGATGCACAGATGACGCACGCAGGAATTTTCAGGTGTTCAGGGTTCTTGGGTCCACACTGAGAATGAAAGCACAGGCAGACTCCAGCAGCAGAGGTCAGAAAGATTTTATTTGTAGAGAAGAGAAGAGAAAGGCTGCATGGGGGCATGCAGGGGGACCCAGAAACTGGTGGCCCCATGGGACAGGTTGGAGATCGGGTTTTCATACCCTTTTTGAGTATTGCCCAAGGGTAGAGATGTCTCTCAGATGCAGACAGATGTTCCCTGGGAAGGAGAAGTATCTCCTTGATCAATCACCTTTTGGGTGATCATCCTAACTGCTGTTAGGGATAGGGATGATGAAGTCTATTCAGTGACTACTTCCTGCTGACAGGGGGTGATGAAGGGGCCACAGCATCAGGGCTGACCACAAGAGAGGAGTTAGAGGGGACCACGATACTAGGTCCTCTTCCTCTTCGTCAGGGGCATTTGTAGTTTGAGGGATTCTAGGCAAGAGGAAACAAACTTGACAAGTAAGTTAAAAATGCAAGACCCAAACACAAGAAAGAGAATAATGGCAACTATAGGCCCCAGAAAGGGTAGAAACCATGTCTTGGAGGGGAGCCAGGATTTTATTTCATCCCAAATCTGTGTGGATACCTGAGTTCGAGGCACTGTTTCCGGAGTCATTTAGCCCGTTGGAGAATATAGTCTATACATTCCTCCACGATGCCTGAAGTGTTTACATATGTGCAACAGGAAGTATTGGCCATGGCACATACCCTCCCTTGTTTAGCCAAAAGAAAATCTAGGGCCAGGCAGGGGTCCATGGCCATACAGACAAGGGATGACAAAGACCTTTGCATGTCCTTAATGGCAAGGCCTACCTGGTCTTAAGTGTCCTCTACCACTTTGGTTAGGTTTTTTTTTTTTTTTTTTTTTGCAGTTACATGATTGGCAATCACCCCATAGATGATTCCAGCTAGGGCTGCAATCAATGCTGTTATCCCTAAAACTATTAGCGTAGTCTTCCTTTTATCTCTATGGGACGCTGTTCCCACTGTAGTCAGCATTCCCCTTTCCTTCCAGATGGCTGCATGAGCATGCAGGAGCAGGAAGGCATACTTAGATGTTGATTCTCTGTTCTTTTGAGAGTTTTAAGGCTTCTGTTAGGTCCACTAATTCTGCCAACTGAGCACTTGTATTAGGAAGAAGGGGACCTGATTTGAGGATGCCAAATTCTGTTACAACCGCAAACCCTGTATGTCTGACACCATTCTTGACAAAGGAACTGCCGTCAGTGTATAATTCTAGATCTGGGCTTTTTAAGGGCTAATTGATTAAATAAGGTTGGGCAGGATAATTTTCCATAATTAACTCCTTACATGAGTGTTTATGATTTCCCTCTGCCTCTGGTAGAAGGGATGCAGGATTTAGGCTCTGACAGGTCCTTAAAGTTATCTCTGTCCCTCCCAGAAGCTGGGCCTGGTATTTAAGTAGACAGCTGTCAGATAGCCAAACTTCTCCTTCTGAGTGTAAAATTCCCCCAGGTCATGTGGGGTATAAACCATTAGGGGACAGTTTAAGATAAGTTTTTTTTGAAATTTTTTTTATTCATATGTGCATACAATGTTTGTGTCATTTCTCCCCCCTTCCCCCACCACCTCCCTTACCCCCCTTACCCCTCGCTACCCAGCAGAAACTATTTTGCCCTTATGTCTAATTTTGTTGTAGAGACAGTATAAGCAATAATAGGAAGGAACAAGCGTTATGCTGGTTGACATAAGGATAGCTATACAGGGAGTTGACTCACATTAATTTCCTGTGCATGTGTGTTACCTTCTAGGTTAATTCTTCTTTTTTTTTTCTTTTATTATTCATATGTGCATACAAGGCTTGGGTCATTTCTCCCCCTGCCCCCACCCCCTCCCTTACCACCCACTCCGCCCCCCCTCTCCCCCCCCCTCATACCAGCAGAAACTATTTTGCCCTTATTTCTAATTTTGTTGAGAGAGAGTATAAGCAATAATAGGAAGGAACAAGGGTTTTTGCTGGTTGAGATAAGGATAGCTATACAGGGAGTTGACTCACATTATTTCCTGTGCATGTGTTACCTTCTAGGTTAATTCTTTTTGATCTACCTTTTCTCTAGTTCCTGGTCCCCTTTTCCTATTGGCCTCAGTTGCTTTAAGGTATCTGCTTTAGTTTCTCTGCGTTAAGGGCAACAAATGCTAGCTAATTTTTTAGGTGTCTTACCTATCCTCACCCCTCCCTTGTGTGCTCTCGCTTTTATCATGTGCTCAAGTCCAATCCCCTTGTTGTGTTTGCCCTTGATCTAATGTCCACATATGAGGGAGAACATACGATTTTTGGTCTTTTGGGCCAGGCTAACCTCACTCAGAATGATGTTCTCCAATTCCATCCATTTACCAGAAATGATAACATTTCGTTCTTCTTCATGGCTGCATAAAATTCCATTGTGTATAGATACCACATTTTCTTAATCCATTCGTCAGTGGGGGCATCTTGGCTGTTTCCATAACTTGGCTATTGTGAATAGTGCTGCAATAAACATGGGTGTGCAGGTGCCTCTGGAGTAACCTGTGTCACAGTCTTTTGGGTATATCCCCAAGAGTGGTATTGCTGGATCAAATGGTAGATCAATGTTTAGCTTTTTAAGTAGCCTCCAAATTTTTTTCCAGAGTGGTTGTACTAGTCTACATTCCCACCAACAGTGTAAGAGGGTTCCTTTTTCCCCGCATCCTCGCCAACACCTGTTGTTGGTGGTGTTGCTGATGATGGCTATTCTAACAGGGTGAGGTGGAATCTTAGTGTGGTTTTAATTTGCATTTCCTTTATTGCTAGAGATGGTGAGCATTTTTTCATGTGTTTTTGGCCATTTGAATTTCTTCTTTTGAGAAAGTTCTGTTTAGTTCACTTGCCCATTTCTTTATTGGTTCATTAGTTTTGGGAGAATTTAGTTTTTTAAGTTCCCTATATTTCTGGTTATCAGTCCTTTGATGTGTAGCTGGCAAATATTTTCTCCCACTCTGTGGGTGTTCTCTTCAGTTTAGAGACCATTTCTTTTGATGAACAGAAGCTTTTTAGTTTTATGAGGTCCCATTTATCTATGCTATCTCTTAGTTGCTGTGCTGCTGGGGTTTCATTGAGAAAGTTCTTACCTATACCTACTAACTCCAGAGTATTTCCTACTCTTTCCTGTATCAACTTTAGAGTTGTGGTCTGATATTAAGATCCTTGATCCATTTTGAGTTAATCTTGGTATAGGGTGATATACATGGATCTAGTTTCAGTTTTTTGCAGACTGCTAACCAGTTTTCCCAGCAGTTTTTGTTGAAGAGGCTGTCTTTTCTCCATCATATATTTTTAGCTCCTTTGTCAAAGACAAGTTGGTTATAGTTGTGTGGCTTCATATCTGGGTCCTCTATTCTGTTCCACTGGTCTTCATGTCTGTTTTTGTGCCAGTACCATGCTGTTTTTATTGTTATTGCTTTGTAATATAGTTTGAAGTCAGGTATTGTGATACCTCCTGCATTGTTCTTTTGACTGAGTATTGCCTTGGCTATTCGTGGCCTCTTGTGTTTCCATATAAATTTAATAGTAAATTTTTCAATCTCTTTAATGAATGTCATTGGAATTTTGATGGGAATTGCATTAAACATGTAGATTACTTTTGGGAGTATAGACATTTTTACTATGTTGATTCTACCAATCCATGAGCATGGGAGATCTCTCCACTTTCTATAGTCTTCCTCAATCTCTTTCTTCAGAAGTGTATAGTTTTCCTTGTAGAGATCGTTCACATCTTTTGTTAGGTTTACACCTAGGTATTTGATTTTTTTTGAGGCTATTGTAAATGGAATTGTTTTCATACATTCTTTTTCAGTTTGCTCATTGTTAGTGTATAGAAATGCTAATGATTTTTCCATGTTGATTTTATAACCTGCTACTTGCTATAGCTATTGATGATGTCTAGAGCTTCTGAGTAGAGTTTTTTGGGTCTTTAAGGTATAGGATCATGTCATCTGCAAATAGGGATATTTTGACAGTTTCTTTACCTATTTGTATTCCTTTTATTCCTTCTTCTTGCCTAATTGCTCTGGCTAGGAATTCCAGTACTATGTTGAATAGGAGTGGAGATAGTGGGCATCCTTGTCTGGTTCCTGATTTTAGAGGGAATGGTTTCAGTTTTTCTCCGTTATGTATAATGCTGGCTGTAGGTTTGTCATATATAGCTTTTATAATGTTGAGGTACTTTCCTTCTATTCCTAGTTTTCTTAGAGCTTTTATCATGAAATGGTGTTGGATCTTATCAAAGGCTTTTTCTGCATCTATTGAGATGATCAAGTGGTTTTTGTCTTTGCTTCTGTTAATGTGGTTTATTATGTTTATTGATTTTCATATGTTGAACCACCCCTGCATCCTGGGATGAAGCCTACTTGGTCGTGGTGAATAATCTTTTTGATGTGTTGTTGAATTCGGTTTGCCATTATTTTGTTGAGGATTTTTGCATCAGTGTTCATTAAGGAGATTGGCCTATAGTTCTCCTTTTTGGAGGTGTCTTTGCCTGGTTTTGGGATAAGTGTAATACTGGCTTCATAAAAGTGTTTGGCAGTTTTCCTTCCCTTTCTATTTCATGGAACAGTTTAAGGAAGGTTAGTATCAGTTCTTCTTTAAAGGTCTGATAGAATTCAGCAGAGAATCCATCAGGTCCTGGACTTTTCT